CATTGATCGGTTCATTATTATTCCAGTTAAATATAGAGGTTGGCAGTATTTCGAAAAATGACTAATAGGAGAGCCTGTTTATCACTGAGGATTTGTTTAGTTCAAAATGCCAACAACTGGAAAGTATAAACTCTGTAAAAAACCTCTTTGTTATGTTTCGTGTTGTCACAGAGAGCGAGAGTTAAACAGGAAGTGGATGTAGTTTCAGCGTATATATACATGCATAAGTATCACCATCAATTCTGATTAGTTTGAAGCCAGTCGTTGAATTTCGCATACATCCATTATTTATACATATTTGTTTAGAAGAGTAGTTATGATATTGCTGTGTTGTTTTTCGCGAGTATTAAGTAATAGGTTTTATTTATCTGATTATGATTTATTTTTTTAAATTGAGGTGTATAGAATCTGATTTATTAACAAAACCAGTTAAACTGTATTTGGCTAATGAAATGACATTCTGTTATATCAGCTCATTGTCATTCTATTGGCTATCGATTGCACATTTATAAATTGTATGTAGGTAATCAAATAAAAGATCTATTCAGTGTGCTTACAAATTATACCAAGATTTTCTGCGCTACCTGTATAATATTTCTAATTAGTTGGTTGTAGAAGTGTTTGAAGTCAAATGAATACACAAGTTATAATGGATTTCATCTGTTCAAGTTCACTACGCGCTTGACATGATGAAGTTTGACGTTAAAAAGTACATGAATGTCTGGTATTGCAAATATTCAGGTAATTGACTACCAATTGAAGTTACTTTGAAACACATAACATGTTCATAACAATAAATAAGTGTAAAACAGTTACAAAATCCAGGTTAATATATTTGGCCGTTCAAACTGGAGTAGCTGAAGAGAATTGTAAACCTGTGATCTGTTAGTTGAAATACAAAGACTTTAACAACTAACCTACTATTTATTGTAGTTATCATATTATCACGTGATTACAAGGAATTTAGTTTATTGGCCTAATTAAAAATGTACAAGTCTAATAGTGCATTTCTTGGAGTGCGATTTGACTACAAATATACTAGATCCCAACCAATTCCGGATATTTTCTCAAGCTAGTTTCATTATTAAATTACCCAGTTTTAACAATGGGATACCAAACAAAAAAGATTTTGGGAAGATTATTCACAACCGCTTTTAGCTTGATATTGTATAACTAATATTTTTATTTTATGGTGTAATGTGTTGTGGGTTGCTCATATATAAAGCAAGTATATCTGACATATACGATATTTATGGTCTAGACTAGACTAGGTGAGAAAATAATATACAGTGGACCAGTGAAAATGCAGAGTTGACTCAATGCTGCCAGTGCTGTTCTGATGCATCATTACAAAAGATCATTAAAGTCAGTATTCTGGTTAGCAAATTTGTTATGTGATATTTGACGGGCCAAAGAACATAACAATTATATTTTTGAAGTACACTACAGTAACAGACTGGATTTCAAATCAGAGCGTTAGTTAGCAGGACTAGAGGAATTATGTGAAGGAAATTCTCTATCGATCCGTAGACAAAAGAAATAAACCCCAAAGACGTACAACGAACAGATAAAATTTCCAAGGGTGTACGAAATGAAACTTCGACAACAGGATCATTAGATAAGAATGAACACACCTCAAATAAATTTTAGAGATGTTACAATTACGGATGTTAATGAGTAATGGCAATCAGTACAGAATTTAAAATATAACATTACTTAGGTTGTTCACCGAGTGGGTGAAATAGAGATGGGAATTGCGCCATTCCACTAAACACTAACGAATGATTAATATTATTTAGATAAATATCGATTGGAAATAGTTGTTTGAAATGAAGTTATATGAGAACTTGAAAGAAAACCTATTTGTCCAATACGTTGGAATGAATGAACAGTTAAGAAAAATTGTCACCGGTTAGAGACTGAAACATAAATGTAACAGGAAAAATATCACAAAATAAATAGCTTAGTATGTATTCACCAGTGATATTAACCTTGTTCGTTCCAACGGACATTACTGGTTGACGATGCACGATCAAACATCCTCACCAATTAACCGGCACACTGCATGAAAGATTCTCCTCCCATCTAAATAATCACCCTAGTAGTCTCAAGCCTATCTATTTGCCCAAGTTAAAAAATATTTCTCCTTTCTATCATCATCGCCTTCTGGTTACAAAACCTCGGATCGGTGATGTCCGTTGCTTCAGTATGACGTCGTCTTCATACACAATACTGATGACAGTTTGAATTATTCAGATGCCATCACTAAGAAGGGTCATGGAAATTGTTGAACTTTACTGAGATCACGAACTGACTCAAGTTAGACAACTTAGATTTACAATCTCCATTAAGTGTACACTAGTTTGTAATTTACTTCTCTTTTAAAAACGTACAAATCATCTGTTTGTAGGCTTTTTAGTGTGTTGTTTAAAAATTCCAGAGTAAATCTTTTTGTCTAAGCATAACGTTACTAATTCATAAATCTGAAGTTTCATGTCAATTTACAATTAAACTGATGGGTAAAACGTTCGATACTAAAGTAGCTAGTTTAATTAATATGTTTTAGCTTCTGCCTATTTCTAAGTATAGTTTGATATTACAACCTAAAATATTCATGTTTCGAGAACAATTCTCAAATTACTTTGATTTTTGGGCAGCCAATTGTGATGAAGTAGACTTTTTTCACGCTAGATTGTGATCCATAATGTTGCATGATCTGATTAGTACAGCAAGCTAACATTTTTTTAAGCTAATTAATATTCATATACAAAAAGCCATAATTATCAAACAAAAATAATTCCAAAAATGTTGGAATAAAGAATTTCTGTTATATACCTAAAACTGACACCCTCTATCCAGTTTAAGACAAGGAACATAGCACTATTTATAGTTCATCCATGTCATTTTATGCAATCTCTTGGCAGCTACTATACCAACTCACTCGACTAATTAGTCGTTACATAGATTAGGCCAGTGTTTTCATTCACTACGCATCAATATATAAACTAAATCAAGAGTGTGGTTTAAACCTAAGAAAATTTCAGTGTGGTTTAATATCGTAGATTATATACACATAAACTATCTGGTTAAAATACCATAATAGTATTACGGACATCTTAACAAGCGACACGACTGCGAAAAATAGACTTTTGGTGGTTTGGTCATGTTATAAATATCGTCCAAGTGATTTCCACATTGCGTATTATTTGCAGACACTGGAAGTGGATGGAAAAAGCAATGAGCTAGTATGTCTATGAAATGACGCCATGATATGGAAAATAACTCTGTAGATTTGGGATTTGTCGCTTCATCATGACTTCCTGATTGTGCACCATCACCAAATATCGCTCAGAACAGAGGTTAGTCGCAAAGTTACTGTAGTATGTTATAACAATGAGATGAGCTTCATTGGCGAAAATGATTAGCTCTTGACTGTACTTCTTACCAAATATTATTTCTATTTATTTCCCAATCATTTGTAGTATAGTTCACACTTATTTATCCTCAATATTATTAATTAATGTGTGAAGCATTCTTGGTTTAGTGACAAATTGTACTAGAATTTATGTGCTTTAAATAAAGCAAATTTTATACACACAAACTATATGATTTTGAATCATTATTCTTTCAATTTGGTAAATGACTTCAGCTTGTATCATACACTAACTGGCTGGTCCATTAACAAACAGATAGAAAATTTACGTAGTTAAAGGTAGTAGATATATGTGGGAATTTCAAAGATAATTAGGTTTATAAAAAGTGCTATGGAGAAATCCATATTTAAAATGATTAATAAAACGTCTTTTCACAAGCGACTGCAATTAACATTAACCAGTAATAAGTCCTATCATGTAATTTTTACAAGTCAGCAACCTTTCTACAAACATTAACTTCCAAAGTTTTCTTAGCCAAAGAAACTTACACCCTTGCATGTTAATTCTTTGATTATTGTGTAAGATGAAAGCATCACAACAAACATTTGTTTACGCAACACATAATGGAGTTAGTCAGCAATAAAAATCAGAATATCTTTGTTCATGATAATTCATGTTACCATGTATTTTATGGGACTGTTGGAAAAACACTTTGGTCTTGATGATTTGACAATATACGAATAGAGTATCAGTGTTTACTGTTTACGTAAAATGAATTTTGAAGAAGTTACTTCGAAATATTCACTCGAGATTCGTTGAAATTCATGAATTTAATATAAAAACAGGATTATAATTTTTACTAAGCATATCTATGAAGGCGATGTAGTATCACTGACTAATGGGAAATCTTTGTAAGACCACATTGAAATCGATGAATTGACTTTAAGAGGAATCGTAATCATCGAGGACTGATTATCTTAAAACTTGTATTTCTTTATTCAAGAAGTGTTCCATAACTGTGTTTCACTATGATTAATTTGACAAAATGTTACATATTGATCCCTTACTGTTAATTTTAGATTTCCCATGTGAAGCTGAGTAATACAAACTGGAACCCTGTAGAGATCAGTCGTTTGAAGATTACAAGTAAGCCTTGTCCACAGGCGCCAGGTAGTACGAAACATACGTCAGGCATTTCTTATCAACTTCTTTCAACTAAATAACAACTCTATGTAGTCCACAAAATGCCGAACTACTTAGAGTAGTGGACATATTGCGATCAGAATGATAGAAATCAATTAGAACTGAAAGACCAAACAAATATGACGCTGGTTACTAGTCAGTGGTCAATATAGTTCCACCATGCTCCAGGTAGTAATCTAATATGTTCAATCAAAAATACACAGAGGGGTTAAATTGAAAACAATGATTTTAAGTGTTGATCATTATTATCACAATGGAGAAACAAATGTTTATTTCAAATAAATAAAATTGAAAATATCAATAAAACAAGACACAGCTGTCAAACTATTAAAACATACCAAAATAAAAGTTTAATTTAAAAAAGAGAAAATAAAATAGAGGGAAGGAATCCCTTCCATTGCCTTGCTCAACGAGAAAAAATGTTTATATAACATCACCTCCTTCTTCGTCAACAACAACATTCGATTTTTTCGCCGCCGTCGTCACCACCACTGTTTCTTCCTCTTCTAAACCTTTAATATTTTGAAGTGACGTTTTCAAACTGGAGACCAGTTGTTGGATAGTTGAATTTTCGGAACAATTTAAAATATTGCCAAATTTGGGCACAATGGTCTTGATTAAAAATTCTAAATTGATTATAATGATAGATTGCTAAAATAGAAAAACAAAACAAAATGTGTACAAGGAAATTTACGCAAATCATGAAATGAAAATTAACCAAACAAAAGTGATGAACATGTAATTTCATGAACAAAATTGTTATGGTTTTTCCTATAAGGGTCAATGAACAAAATCTTTTCCAACTAACACTGCTCAAGTGATTTTCTAATGCATAAGCGACCCAAACTTCTGTTGACAATAAGACTACTAATTGACATCCGAACTGATTCTCATGTGACTAAATCAGGTATATATATATCAGTTACACTATTGATATAGTAAGCAATACATGAGTCTGGTAGTTAGGCCATAGTTTTACTCGATTGGTAAATGACCTACAAAATCGGAATTCGACAATCGCTTATATTCTACATAAATCCTTAAATCCATCTTTCTACTTTACATCACGAACTGATCTTAGTAAAAAAACCAATGAAAACCAAGAAACACCGGACAATTCTTTCAGGTATCCGTGATCCGATCGGGGATTAAGGACAAGACTATCAAGTTTCGCAACGAGCGCCTAAAAGTTAAACAGCTGTGACGGCAGTTAATAGCTTAAATCATTTTGCGGTATCGAACAATCACACTAGGATGAAATAGATATCCAGTGCTTTTCGGTTTGATTATTTAAGAGCAGTTCGTCATGTCAGCTGGAAAATCCAACAATCTCAACAAACTTTCCACCCATCCCATCCAGTAAACTATTTTTCTATTAAATATTCTGTACACATGTATAGAATTCCTTTATATAAATACAATTTACTTTGCTAAACAGTTATGTCATTTAATATTTGTTTATGAAAGGTTTTTCTATCAATAATTCAGATATTTTAAACAAATACTGACCACGTACATTGTAACAAAATTAAGTTGATCAACCAAATCTTAGCTTTGATTTAACAAAACAAATTAAACTGGAATGTCGTAGATTACTTACTCTAGCCGGATCAGAAATATCAATAGGTGAAACACGTTCAAAACAGTCAAGTTCTGAATTTAATGTTTGTACGAAACACGATATTAAAGTTAAATCTAACTCGGAACAATTTAATAGATGGACACTTTGAATAAATTGTCGTAGAGACCGAATAAGGTAATATGTACTCATTGTTAATTTTAAACCATCTGAAAAATAATGATAAAAGGATAGTAAAGTATGATAATACAAATTATGTAGAAGCAAATTTAGGATTTGTTGCATTCTTAAAATAACACATTCTTGAATTGCATTGAATCTGTGTGATCGGGCTGTTTACTATGAGAGGAATTGAACTATCTAGTTCGATAACCGACTTATTTGCTCATATTGCTTGTAGGACCAGTGATCCTTTCATAAACCAGTAACGTAACGAGCTTTTCTTGGGCTATGTTACGGTAACTGTTAATAAAAACGGAAAAATCTTAAATGCTTGTTGACCCATAAGTTACCTTCTATCAGAAGAGGAAGATGACAGGGAGAATAATTTTTTTATTGTACTCATTACTTACGACTCAAAAACGATAAAAAAAATAAACTTCAAATAATTGACTGCATGGCAACATAAATAATTAAACTACCAACCTGCAAAAGCTTTTATAGACTTAAATAATCAATAGTAGATACTTCGTTGAAAGGTGTACCTCAAAAGTACATAAACCTTGTGAAAGCTCTTTACTCGAACACTACTAATCGAGTCAGAGCTTATGGCGAACTGTCATCTGATTTTGCAACCTCAAGTGGTATCCGTCAAGGCTGTCCACTTTCTCCATTTTTGTTAAACTTTGTCATAGTCATGCTGATGGAAATATCACTCTCATCGACTGAATTTTCGGGCATTGATCCCCTAGCAGGATGTCCGCTTATTGACTTAGAATACGCAGATGACAGTCCAGTTTGATGAAGGTGATAAGACGCAGTTTTTTGGTAACACTGAGCAACAATGCCAGGATGTTTGGGATGCGCTTCTCCACCTCTAAATGCAAGTTGTTGCTTCAGGACTGGTCTGCGTCAACACCTTAACTAAGGATAGGGAGTGAAGTAGTCGAACGCGTCGACAACTTCACTTATCTTGGAAGTCTGATCAGACCCGTGGTGACATGGCTCAGAATCGACCACAATGACGTCGGTGTATACACTCTCTGTCTTCCTTTATACTTTGAGATTAAAATCGCTTCATACCACCATTAAATTAACTACTATGAATTCGGTGTTCATTTTGCTGTGCTAATGAGGTACGGCAACCTGGACCGATGCATATATGTGCCTGGTCCTACGTTATAGCTGACTGAGATACTTCAAAATGCTTGCCAGTATTTATGTTTTGTGTCTCAGTTTTCAGTAGTAAAATTATTGTATCAAGCTGACTAAGAACTATAACACAAATGTATCGAGAAAGTGTATATAGTCTAGTGAATGTGGAGGATTTACAAAATGTCCAAACCATTAAATATTTCAATGTTAACCAACGTGAAAATCGTAGACGTAAGAAAAACTTAAAATATACAAAGACAAGTTTCTAGAAAATGAAAAGTGATGATAAGACTGTGTAATAATGACTGTAAAGATCAATAAATTAATATGTTCAAAAGAGACACAATAATGAAAAAAAGTAGTTCAGCATTGACAGCATAAAGAAAAAAAGATATTAACCCCACTAAATGTTATAAACCAAAGTTATTAAGGTAGTGTAGAAGTCTGATATGGAAGATTCATCTAGAGGAATGGGCAAACCCTGATTCCAAAATATTGGTGCACATGGGCTCCAGGATCCTGAGGATACAAATGGTGTATGAACCTATTGTTGGTCACTGGCTACCATGGGACTGCATGTCCTAACGTTGCTCTACTGCCTTGTGGATCAGACCTCTAGGTCAAAGCCTCAGGGAGGTACACTTTAAGAAAAACCCCTGCTTTGGTTTAGGCGGGCGGGTAGTGTTTTAGAAGCCACACAAATCAACTGTTTGAGCATTTCTACAATTTTTTAAAATAATTATTACCATTAGTAATATATTTTTTTGATATCCCAATCAGTGGAAGATTGTATTTCTGACGTTTCGTGACATAATGTAAATTACTTCTTACATTAAGTCACGAAATGTCAGAAATACAATTTTCTACTCATTGGAATATCGCAGTAATGCATTTATTATTAACTTCCTACAAAATGTTCAATTCATTTAAAACTATAAAGTCCAACCTCAGCATTGATACAGATAAATTATTATCATTGTTTCTAGATTGTAAGTACCTGACAAGAATTCATGACATAAATAAGGGGATATAAATTAAGGGACCTTATATATATGAATGAACAACACGTTTAAAATGTAACTTACAATCAGCTGCGGTATATTGGTTGAGTATTCCAAATTCCAATAGATCTGCAATGATTTTATCTTGTTCCCCTTTAGGTAGATTTGATAAAGTTTCCCAAGATTCTTGCTGAGAAAATAAATCAGAAACATACTTACTATATACACTGACAAGTACTTCAACTGTAATCTTCACGTGTATATTAAGTGATTACAAAATACAGAATGAAAAATTTATCTTAAACGTTCAACAGAGAAGTGTATGTATTTGTTTGTAAACAATATCAGAATATACCGTGATGTGGCGTATGGTAGTGTGAACATTTATTTATATTACAATTATCACCAGTTACGGTTGTGTATGAGTAAAATTGAGTCAATCAAAATAGGTAAACAGGAGTGTAAAGTTGCATTTACCAACTCATTCGTTAATATGCGACGGAATTGCTAATGACGCCTCAGTTTCTTGTAAATGACTGTTGGAATTTTTCTGTGAAAATGATCGCGATAACGTCTTCAAATTTATATCTTCACAGTGACTTTGGCTGTCATTTGATTGATTGTTGTCACGTTTAGTTTGCTACTTTTGTCGTGACATAAGGTCCATTGTTATACAGACAGAATTGTTCAACTTGAAATAAATCGCAAGAGACACTTACTATTAGTTATTCGTCCGCGCATAACTCCGAAGATGAAATCAATACAATTCACATTTTTATTAGTTCCATAGTACAGCAGCCTTTAAATTAAGGTACACTTACATATTAGAGTCCTCGAAGAAATACTACAGAAAATTCAGTAAAACTCATTTATTATGTTATTTGAACTGAAATCAAGTGTATAACCAAATGTTACTTATAGGTTTTGTTCCAATTTACAGTGCTCTCAGTTCGTACAGGTCCGTTCAACGGAAAACTGTTTAAACGATTGATCAACAAATGTCCAAAACTGAATGGTATCCATACCTCGGACAGTTAACAAGAACCAATTACTTATAATCCCATAGGGCCATTGAGAGATTGGTATTAATTCATCATACCAACTAGACAAGTTCGAGTGAATAGCCTCAAGTGGACCTTCCGTGTTCATTCCAAAGAGCATAACAAATACCCGTATCTTAAAACGTGATTCCTAACATAAGTCCATTGTTAAATAGGATATAGCCTGTAGATGTTGAAATCATCAGTACTAAATAAACAACTGTCATGTAATGCGACGAGAAATGATACTTTGAAAACAGCGGAAACTTTAAAGTGGATATTTAAAACGGAGACGGTAATGAAGACAGGACAAAAAAAACACTGATGAAGATGATTGCTGATGAATAGATGGAAAGTTTAAGCTAAAGAAAATCTGAATTAGTGAGTGATAGCTGACACTTGTAATTAGTCAACTGTAGGATACTCAAACGATACTTGCTAATCATTGGTCAAACATAGCGTTTTTAGATGTGACGGTACTTGGGGAGTTTTATTTCTCTTTTCAAGAATCATGTCATTGGAAACAAAAGATAAGCGGTAAGGGTATGTTTTGTAAACTTCAGCGTCAGTTTTAATTACTCCTCTCCTATTCAAAGAGAGAGGACAACATGATTGAGTTATTTATAAGAAATATCTTACGACTGTGATATTTCAGTTGATCTAAAAGCACGATCTCATAGTTGAAAACTTTTTCTTATCTAAATTAATTACACTCTGAAAAGAGGTGCTTTTAAATCTGAAATACTAAAGTCAATTTTTCTAGCATGTTAGGATCTTAATAAATATGAATTTTCAGTATTACAGCTTAAATAAGTAAGCTTGATCACCACATCGTGATAGTAGCGGTCAAGTTCACAGTCTAAATGATTCAATAGGATGTAAGATTCCTAATATAACTCTCGTTTGGTGAGTGGCATGTAACAAAGACAAGCTAAAATTAAACACGAGCACTGTATTACGCCTCATGTAAGGTCTGTTCTGCATCTACATAGGAGAACCAGGTTGAGAACGAACCGAAGTATCTTACACAACAACTAACATATTCTCTCGTTTTTTTGACCATAAGTTTGATGACTAAAACCAGTTGTAACTTGACTAGTAATTATGAGATTGATCTTTTTCTTTTACGGCATTCAAGAAGCAGCTTAATGTAAGCAAAACTTTATTGACATCAGTTTTCTATTATTAAAATAACAAGTTATGGACTGAAAAATACGATAGTTACTTTTGCACGATTTTCAACAGCTTCACAGAGTAAACGTGACTGTTCATCAGCAGCACGTTTCCATGCACGTGATAAGCTTCGATTGAGAGTAGAAGAAATATCAACACTCAGTAATTCAGTAAGCTAATCAAAGAAAAACAATACATGTCTGTTTTAATTTACACTAGTAATTTAGGTATAATAGTAATTCAATAAACAATGGTGCATTGAAAAAAAGAATTATAACGTACTATCATAATTGCCAAACATATGAAAGACCATTGATTAAATATGATAGAATATTCCTGGGTTCCTTTCTGCATGTATTAATTGTGTGGAAAGCATAAATGATCGATAACAAATATGTACTTATTTTTTCTACTTTATAAGATAAAAACAATTAATATAACTACGAATATGACTAATTACAAATATTAATACATATTAAGGTCAAACAGATATTTTATTATATGTGTAAATGTATACAAAGAAACTGAAAGGCTTTTTAACAAGCGAATTAATAACAATTATATCTTAATAAAAATATTCAATAATAATAGGAGAGATTACAAACCACATCTACTAAGTACAGGTTCATCTATGCGGATTTCAACCAATAGCTCGGAGCCTCTCCACCTAATTCCGTCTGGATGGTCAAGTAGTATCACTAGGCCTACACAAAAACAATGTGGTTCAAAAGTTAAGCATAAGAAACGGTACTTGGTAAGTGAGTTACATTAAAACCTTGGGTTTGAACCACGCCTTTGTGTGAGTTAATGAGTAATATTACGCAGTTGTCTAAGTCGCACTAGGCGGAGCAATGTTAGAACTTATGACCTCTAGGTTTGAATCCGAATACTCTAACCATCAACCCATCCTTTTAGGCATGAAAAAAATTCAGTCCTCTTAAATAAACTTTACTAATTTCTCACCTTATCAGCATGTGCCTTAATTCGTTGAGCAGCATAAGCCATTGAATAAAATGATACTGCATGACTATCGATCAGTAGAACACGAAGTTGTTGACCGAATTTCTCAGTCTCATCCAATGTCCAACTATAAAATTCTATTTGTTTTTTAAAACAAGCAAAGCTTTTTTAATAAAAATTGGAATGGAAATATTTGAAAATAAATCTTGTTAAAGTATTTAAAAATAAAACGAGTCTTTCGTTTCTTATGATTACGGCATGAAAATTTTCCTACCCGAGATTTGTAAATATTTCAAGTTAGTGAGTAATAAAATAGTCCCATGTATTGGTGACCATAATCGCTTTTGTAAATCATTTGGTTTTTTTATCAATTAATTGGCTTTTTGACAAGTTATCGAGAAATGTTGGATGCCCCGGTAAATCAAGCACAGTTGACTGTCAAAGTTTACCTTAATTGTCGTTTCGAGAATTTTAACCATTGCATTAAATCTGAAATTCAGAGAGAACACACTGAAAACTATCTGGTCGGTTATCAGGGTCGTATTTATTTACCATGTATTATTTTTTGGAAATAGTAAGACACTTGGAGCTTAAGAATAGTAATATGTGACTCATTCAGTAGCTGCATCAATAAGGCGTTTAGTTGAGAACCATAATAGTTTCTGCGCACAAAACACAAGTCATTACACCTCCAGCAACTCAGATGTAAGGAAGAAAGATGTGTTAAACCTTATTTCTTGAGAACCTATAAGACAATCTGAGGAGACAAATTTTACCTGTTTATGCACAACCATTGAAATGTTTCGAAATATGCACCATGAATAAATGCAATCGATTTCACTCAGGATCTTTGTACAAAACTGATAAAAAAAAGATTGTCTAGTAAGCTGATACGTCAATCACAATCTAAAACTGAGAAAGAAAGTGATAAATGAAGGAGCAAGTACATTTTGGATCGCAGAGGACATGAGGCATATGAACTGAAGACTGCAAACAAAAGTAAATTCATTATGAAAACCAGCTAAAGAGATTAAAAGACCAGCAAGCGAAGAACATGTTCCTTGAATCAGTTCTACGTGCGTTTAACTTGTCAATGATTAGCAGGGAGCTGTCATTGAGGAGGCTGATCGGTTAAAGGAGAACATAGACTTCTTTTCTTATTTCCGAGTGTGGCTGTCTCGCTGAAGAGCCATTACATAGTAGTCGTCTAATCTATAGTGATAACTAACAGTTTCATTCCTGATACAAGACATTAAAAGGTCAATACCTGAAGAATTACAACAATAATATTAAATAACAGAGTTTTTCCACTGAGAAATAATCAATCAATTGGTTTCTGGTTCTGTCTTCTGAAATCAAATCAATCTCAATTAAAAGAACTGTTCTATGAGCGAATAGTCTGTGAAGACACTGTAAGTACTTTAATGATTTTTCAAGACCTGTGTCGTTGGGACAAGAGATACCTCCAATCATGAAATTAACATCTCAAGCCATATCTGTTAATTTAAGTACCAAATTAAAATTATGCAAAAAGACTTTATAAATCTGCTTTATCTTTGATACCTAATTTGAGAGTTTATAATTAACAACAGAGTAAGACGGAATAAAGAAAAATAAGTGAAAATCGACGGCGATAAGTTAGTTGTTTCCAGAAATATATCACCTGACTGCAACAGATAATTAATGGTAACTAGAAAAGTCGAAGCCAAACATAAAATAACAAAAACCCTAATAATTCCTCCAACAAACTAATTAACATCCACAATGTTGATAAATGATAATTTATCGGATATTTGGATGGTTTTATACAGTGATAACACAAAACCGATGGTGGTAAAAAAAAATTTCCAAGTTTACGTTCAACATTCTAAACTGTTTACAATATATGTATACTTGGATCTCATGAAACTAATAATGATATTTTTGTCATTTAATTACCCAAAGCGAGAAATTATCAAGTGGTTGGTAGTAATGATGCAAAACACAATCAAAACTAAAAACGAAAATAAACGTTTTGTAATTACAATTCCAATATATTTTAGTAACTATTGGGTACTAATCCCTGAGATTGGAATTAAAGACACTCTATTACCCAATTGAAAGTATCATTGTTCTTTTTTTTCTTTTCATACGCACCATACATTTTTATCTTTTCCCATTCTCATTATTATCGTGTGGCACATATGTAGCTGGTGCCCCCTTGTACCAATATTTATGTGTTCAAATAAATAAATAAACAATAATTATCAAACAAGTACCTACAAAATACATCTAAGCAATAATATATAACTAAAATAAATGAGTTGGAGAACAGTTTCTATTAGATGAAATGAAAGACAATTTTAAATAAGGGAAGCTTATTAACATCATGGGGGAAATTGTAAACTCCATGTGATAAAATGACTGGATAATTCAAGAACATTTTAAAAATAACATACTATAATATGACTTTAAGCAACGCTTACAATGTAAACTTACTTAAAGAACAGATATTTTCAAATTGTTGCGGTGATATACCATTAGTTTTTGAGGCAAGAATTTCACCCAACGGTTTAACTACACTTTGACACCATTCTACAGCTGTTTCAGCTAAATTACGATGGAAAGTAAGCGATAGTTTATTTAAATAGATTAATTGATTGCCTTCTTGATGTACACCATGTGTTAAAGACTTTGTCATTACTTGTGAACGATAAACTAAAAATAATTCAGCTGCAAGAGATGCTTTACCAAGTAAACCTAATTGAGAAACAGCTGCTTTCACGGATTTAGGAGCGCCTTTAGAAAAGAAATATTTTTGACAAATAAACGGAAATGACAGATAAATTTTAAGGAAATAGTATAATGGAGAAATTAGGAATCAAATCATATGATACCGATTATATTCAAATGACCGATTGTTATCATTAATCTAATGTTAATGACTGAGTAGGTTCAGAATTAACTAAAAATATCAAGCACTAAATAGAAATAACATTAACAAATACAGATTCCAAGCATTACATACCATGTCTACAAGCTGCTGATACTAATTCATATTGCAAAGATTCTGTAAGATTTCGTTCGTTACGTTCAATACGCTTAGATAATTTCTCCCAATCTGTTTTAGATCTATGATCAACAGTATCAGATATTTGACCTGGTGTACTAGAATTAGATGACTGTATATTTGTATCCATAGATGGTTTTGATATATCTCCAGTCAGTATTTGATTTAATGATTCTTTAGCTTTTACAATTAAATTAGTAGCACGTTGAAAATTTCGTTCAGAAATTGCTACATCTAAATCTTCTGGTACATCCCATAACCAATTATGTCGAGATTTATGACTTCCAACTTTTGCCATGGGAGATTTAACAGCTACGTTTTCAATAGAAAGGGAAACAATTTAAGGTTTTAATAAGTGCATTTTAAAGGATTAAAACAATAAATAGGTTATTTTAAGGATTCCATCTATATATCCATGAATAAGAAAAATGAAGCTAGATAACAATTGGATATTTAAATGATTGGAGCATAAAGATAGTTACAGACAACTTCATGAAACGTTGACTAATTATAAGAGGAACTTTTATTACAATCCGATAACAATTAAGCAATAAATATTTGACATTTGTCGATTCATTCAAGAATGAAGACCTAAACGTTTGAATTGTCTAACAGATATTCGGCTTTACAGAAAGTGAATCCGTAAATAATGTTTAAGATTTTCGGACATTAGGTAATTATTAACATGACTAAGTCGTTATCTAATGATCCTAATGGATATTTCTTCCCAATCGTGGCTGATGACACAAGTAATGGCCTTCAGTAACAACTTCGGAAAACTTACTTTGAAATAAATATTAAATGTGAGGTTGCTGAGAGAAATTACTTTCATTATAAAACACTAATACTTAAAAAAGGAGGATGGATATCTACGGATGAAACCAGAGATGAACTGAGCCGAATAAAGCAGATATAGAGAATTCGGTTTCCAGTTTATTATATTACAGAATAATTGATGATGTGTGATTGATAAGCTTTGTGCCACAATGGATACTGCCTGATTTTCAGAAGTTTTCAAATGTTGCTATTTCATACGGAAGACAATCGTTGACATGATTCGAATTTTAAAAATGTAGCCCTGGACCGCTAAAACATAATGATGCTAACAGATTATTTGGAAACTTCCTGAGATGTATTGTTATTGTCATGGAATGAATTATGTATTATTTACCCCGAAAGCGCCAAAATAGCAAGATTTTTATACAAGTGCATATGATCGAACAATAGAAATGAAATACGCACAAATGATAGGTGCACGAGTATGAAGACGAATTACATTAACAACAAAAAATGAGTTTTACATTTTAACGAAATATAGCGTGTCATTTACCAAAGAAACTTACCTTCATGGGAATCATCAAAAGGATTTTTTTTAGCAGACAAGTCTAATTTATCGATAGGTGTTAAGAGGTCTACACAATCAGGTAAAGTGGAAGACAAAACTTTATGACCAGCAACAACAGCTTCAGCAGATACCTTTGGAGGTAACATAGTCAACTTCATAGAATTATTATCCAAAACGTCATAAGAATTTGTAGTAATATGGGAATCGGATTTTAAATTTGATGCAACATACGAATTAGTATTTCGATATTTACGCATCGTTTCATCCAATAATGTTAACCAACGTTTCTAAAATAAAATGAACAAAATAGAGTTACATGGATAAAACAAATAAAAGACACAAAATCAAGTTTCTAACAGAGATACAAAACAAGTAATTATAAACCATATAATTAATGATAATACGTAACTATCTAGACAGAAATAAATAGGACAAACAGTAACTTATTTTTTTCAGGTGGATACGTTACATCAGGGAAACTAACTTGATGTACTAATGATATATATCTTTCAAACAAGTGAAAAATAAGAGGCTTAGTGGGGAGGATGTTTCTGATAGTTTCCTAAAATTGCTTATTCAAATTTATATGGTGATTTGACGATTTTTTGTCGTTTCAAGAAAACAGCTCGACTAGTTTCTGTAGTTTTATATTGAAGAATATTACGAAACATAATCCCATGGAACTGATGTGTGGAGAAACAGGAATATCTGAGACTGTTTTAAACCATTCGCCGAAATATTTTCTAAGAATTCCAGAAAGATTTGAGTAATAAGCAGATTTGAAAACCCTTTCCCCTAAGAGTTAGTACCTACAGCCTTAACACGAAAAGTGTGGCTAGATTCAATTGCATAAACTTGTATTTGACGAATGAAATTCTTTTAAAACATTGACCAAAAGTATGGTCTTTTGAAATGCGTGGATTATATTAATATAGTAAAGTGTTGATCGAATGACAGTCCATACAGTATTTCATATTAAGCACATAATTTACTGTTTGAAGATGAAAACTGGAAACTCGGACAATACTATGAATAAATGTATGTATATATGAAGTTTATGAAAAATCACAAGCTGGAAGATGTGTCCATAAATTGCACAACTCGAAAAATATTGTAGTTTGTCTTAATTTACTTTTAAATCCAAGCATTGTAATTGAGACAATAAGCCCAAGTATAACATTGATTACTGTTCAGATGTCAAGGAGTGTAGTTCTAACACGTATAAATAAGTTAAAGCGAACCGATTATTTGGCAGATAAAATCATTATTAATACCTTGTCACTGGGCGTTTCAGTTTGGAAAAGACGATTAGTAGGAAAAACTATTAATTTAAACGCATTATTTGGAGTTTGAAGGCGATCCATGGGAGGAAAATTAGCCACAGCAAAGTTGTTCAAATCATACGTTGACTGAAGACGATATGGGTACGAGCTGTAAACGGAAGTAAAATTTGTGTTAACAAGTCATACCTAGGATAACTTGTAAAATCTAAAATCAACACGAAGTTTCATATTATATATTCTTGACTTCAAGCTTTCCTACTATATAATCTTTCCATGTATTACAGCTAACATCATATATTAAGAGTAAATAAGTTAGGACAAGCAATATGTTTTGATTGTACATTAACCATTGATTAGTAGCCCTCAATAATGCCTACACACTGATTACGCAAAATACATAGGAAGACAAGAAAGTACTGACTACTAGTCATAAATGCAATTCACCCATGTTGTTCATCTATAGCAGATATATTTGTTCTACAATAGGACCTAGCCCAGTGCCTTAATTTAAGGTAAACTCTTGATGTATGAAAATCTGTCTCGATAGTGATGATCAATCTTTTAAATGTATTCCTATTTATTTGATGATCAATTTGCGTTGATTGTCTTGATCACTAAAAAGTTTCGAATTTATCCTCCAAAAATCGAATTGGTTCTACTCAATAAAGTTAAGAACCTCGAAGCATGTTGCTATGACAGAACACAAGTAAGTGTTCACACTAATGAAATGACTGAAGTGGGTAAAATGGACAATTTTCCTCAAATCCTAGCCGAATATGCCCCAGAAGATAAAACCGCTAGCTAAATGGCAGTTGTTAAGGAATTACAAATCTTACATAAAAATAAAATACTCAACGAAAATGGTTTGGATTGTTAGGGATGGAAATGGAATTCATAGAGAGATCAATGGTTGCTCACCATTGTCTATCGTATTACGTGTGCCGTTAACCACAATTCAAACAAAGAGGGATATATGACAATATCAACTGTATACTATGACTATAAATGAAAATGGAAAACCGATCTATCTAATAACTTGAAATAAGTGAATACTCATAGCTGAATTATTAGTTTTAATAAGACTTACGAACCAGATTGACTGTGATATGCAATAACCAAAGTATCTGTTAATACAAAGACCCGAGCCATGCAAACAAAAGTGAAATCATTCATACTTAATTCGCGCAGATCCCCATCAAATATAACACGACGACTTGAATCCCCGACCAAAACCTGGTTCGAAAATATTAAATATTAACAAAACGAAGATTTTTAATATTAAGGATACAAGAAAACGCTTATTTTTAAATAACTATGACCATATTCAAATCTGCTCAAATGCTTTTATATGGTTGATCAATGTATTTAATTCATTCTGTTTTATGATTATTCATACCAGCGGGAAAGTTCTGCTTAATGACTTGGCGTCGCTAGGGTACATAATCTCAAACTAAAAGCGAATATCTATAGATTATCCACATTTATAGACACTAATTCGATCAAAAGGGTTTCAAAACTGTATTTCTAAACCACTGATACGAGTGACACTGGAAATATGAAGGAAAGAATGGAGCATGAACTCACCAGACCAGTGTTAAGTTAAGAAGTAACGTAAAAGCATGAAATAGGGGTAAAGTATTAAGTGTAAATTGGAATAATTAAGCATCCTTTAAAAATAGGTGGACTTCATAGTAAAAAGTATTATTGAGACCTCATTTTAGTCTATGATGGTGACTGGGAGCAATCAGTAACATTCATAACTCATCAGCACAAGGTTACCAATTAAAATGGATAAACCAGATTGATCTATAAAAATGAGCGATAACAAAAAATTACTTATATCAACTGTGTATTATAGGTGTCGAAACTCCTAATCACAGTTTGTACGGAAGTGGACGTCAAGAGTTCCATAATAAATAAAAACATACAGGTAGAATAAATCTGCCTTTCGTAAAACTCATATGAGAAAAACAACAGGTTGCAATCTAGAAGAAAAACCGTGGGGTTCGTAAATCATACTTGGGAAAATCTTTTAACATTCCTCGACAACCTGAAGGGATAAAGATGGGGTACACTACTGAGATTTTACAACAGTTTATCTTAAAGATAATTCGTAAATAAACTTCAAATGGGGCAATCTATTCTGTATCGTGCCCAAATACGTAATATAGACTTATTCAATAGGTCGCACAATAGAATGTTGGGATTAAAACGCAAAATTACATCCCTTTATTCTGTGATTTTTGTTCAAGATACGATGACATGTAGCATATGATTTGTTGGGACTATTATTTATGGGATTCCATCCTAATTAATAATTGAAGTAGGTGTACAATCAATACATAAATGAGTGTATTATCGACTAGGGTCGTCGTCGTGTTTTGGGGTTAGTAAATCTTCACTTGTACCAGTTTTTGTGTTTTTACTTTTGCGTCGTAGGAATTGCAACGGTTCTTCATCTTACAAGTATAAGTGACAAGCGATTCCGACGTAACAATTAGCGACAACCGGATATAACAATTCGTGACGCATCGGCGATGACTGTGCCCAAAGTTAGTGCTAGCCAGAAACAGGTTTTGGTCTGTGCACAGTTGCAGTAGACGGTCCCCGTTATCTGTCCTGCGACCAACAAGTCCCCATCGGCCACCTGAACGACTCTCTTATGTGCCTAGACGCCCGACCTGAGCATTCAAGTCTCTGGCCAGTACTACAATATCTGTCGAACGCATTTTCTGGAGAAGAAAGGATAACTGGTGGTAAAACTCATCTTTGATTGCATCCGGGCTGCAATCTGTCGGGACATAGGCGGAGATGACGAAAAGACATCGCTTTTCACTTTGATGGAACTCTCTAACCTAACAGCACATAACCAACTGTTAATGGGGATCCAATCGACTAGTGCTGCCTCAGCTCTAGCGCTTAGTGCGACACCAACGCCATACCCGGGCATTTGGGGGCTACTGGAAAAAATGGAAAATAACCGAGTGACCAGAACAAATATGTAGCTTTTTTGACCAATGAATACTTAGTAACAAATAACCTGATATGGTAAAAGACCAGTGTATCTAGCTGAACTGATAATTCTATAACCAAAGATTGCATCGAAAAACACAATCGATAAATTATTTTCAGCTCTAAGGATGATGTTAAGATGAAAATAAAAGTAATGATTTCAAGCGCTTTCATAAACCTTTTTCAAAATTGCTTATAAATGCATCATTCAGTGAATAATCCCAAATGCAAGAAAAATATATCTAATATATCAATCTAGATTACACATATCTAAATTTTGAAAGCAAATAAACTTACGGAAGCTCCCTCTACCAGTTCGGCCAATTGGGTTGCCGAAATCCCAGAATGCTCACTACAGGGTAAGTTTTTCAGTTTTTTCATCAACCTGTGATATGGACACAGCACGTTCTGAAGCAGATACATCAGTAATAATGTCTTGAAAACATGAAAAAGCAAACAATTTGATCTAGTATTGTCACACGTCTTAGAAATTAGTGAGCAATACATTGCTGTTTGCGAAGCTCACTTAAAATAAGTGATGAGGAAAAAATACTGAAAAGTTAAATTTTACTTTTAATTCGTTAGTAATTAGAGTCGGAACCAAGACCTTTTAAGTTTATGATAACACATCGTCTTGTAATCAATACTTACGGCCCTTATGAGGCCACTTTAAAATTGATAATCCACCTGAACCATAAAATGGGCAACAATAAATAAGGAACACTAATAAGCTCCAATCACATGACTTGTCGATAAGTGTATTCACAAATAATAATATAGTAGCTCTAAAAACTATTTGTCTGAAGATCACGAAATGATGGCTGTGTAGCCACTTGTATTACATAAGAAGCCCATATAATGAACGATAAAAAGATCTCAGGCCATTGTGGGAATACATAGTTATTAGTAAATACCTATTTCAATGTCAGAAGATAATTTAGTATCGACAAAGATTAATTTTGTCGTATTTTCAACACTTTTCCAACCTCGTGGAATCACCATATCCGGTTTAGCAAAAGCAACATCTTTGAAAAACTCATAAAAACAATGGAAAATCGACACAAACTAATTAATCAATCGACTGATCACAAGAGTTCATTAACATAGGAGTCAGTTTATTCATTTGTGAAAATATAAATATACAAATCTGGTGCGGTAATCATTTTAAACAGGTTCTCCACATAACTCATAAGATTCACTAACTGTTCTATGATCAAATGAATGAGTAAATACTAAGTTGATGCTCTTCTTACGAAAGCTACTAAGCTAACTATTGAGATAGTGTACTAGGAAGAAAACACAAACCACATGGTACTGTCATAAACCAAAATAATTGGGTTGCTTTACTGGTTACGCCCACTGAAGATGATGAGTAGATTAACCGTAAACGATATCAATATCAAAATCATGACCTAGCTCATGATCTAGCCTAATCATGAACTGTAAACATACTAGAACTAAGTTGAGGAGTAACCAAACAAAGATACGTACTTTGTGAGACTAATCGTAAATATACTGCTAATTGAATTGTAGTGGTTACAGATACTGGACGTCTCAGTTGGAAGTTCAGTTTACTCTATTAGGATAATAAGCCACTGAACTATCTAATGCAATGTACATACAGAACAACAAGCAACTTAGAAAAGAACAACTTACCATTAAATAAAGATAGCTCAGTAAGAGTATTCATTACACGTTGCTTCTCAGTAAATTCGTTGTGAATTTGGTGCATTGTATTTTCTAATTGGCTAGCGGCTTTACCAGCCTTAATAAACAGTTTGTAATTTTCAAAAACTGCACGTTTCATCTTGCTGGCAGCTTCAGAGGATATAATGTTAACTTTTTCCAGCATATTGCTAGTAGCCGTATCTCCATTTTTGGATACATTTTTCGCAACTGAAGAATTCAAAAATATTAGAATTGTTAAGCAAACCAAAGTGATATTCTTTTGCTGAAGTTTCTGGAGTTAAAATTTATTTTTCTTAAACACATAAACATAGGTACAAAAAGGCACCAAATAGATACGCGCCACATAAATCATTTGATTTGTGTGAGGGCTAGGATACTGCCCAGGTATCCAAACCGAAGCAGGTGGTTCTCTTAAGGAATCACAACCCGAGCCTTTGACCTAAAAGTCTAATTTACAAGGCAGTGGAGCAACGTAAGGAGATGTAGTCCCATGGTTGCCGGTGACCAACGATTGGTTCATACGCCCTTGGATCCTGGAGCCCATGTGCACCATTGGTTTGGAATCAGGGTTTTCCAACTTAGGTAGAATCTCTGTGTCCACAAACCCGGCCAAAGCTCCGGATATTCGCTTTACGTTTTCGCAATTCCGTAAATAACAGTAATACCGCGAGGAGGCAGTGAGTAGAACTTCCATGACAGTGGTTGTATGCACGTGGACGTGAGAGCATTTCGAGAGGGCGAGTTGAGTCTCTCCACCCTCGACCGTACCACGGCATTTGGGGGTTAAAAATTATATAAAATAATTACGAGTTACAAATAATAGAAACGAGACCATGTGACAATTAACTGTCACATGGCAATTGTCTAACTGTATTTGCTTTCCACCCAACTATATAACTAAAGTGATTTTATTCACTAGGATTCCGATAGTTCGGAAGGCTCAAAACTCTAGTGAGATGACAATGCATCCAATCATGGTAGGATATACACTACCCAATCTCCCAAATTAACTTGGGAGAGTTTATAAATTTATAAGCTATGGTATTTAAGGGTTAGAACTAACGAGCGAAGCTTGTAAAAATGTACAACGGAGAACGATGTCTTCCTCACATTTCTCACTGTTAAACGTTGGTTTTGCAAACACTCTACGAAGACCTCCAATATCCGATACCTCGAACCCAACTACGTTACGCGCTTGATTTGTCTGCGTTGACATTTGTATATATGAAGGTCAATTGTAATTGAAAGACAGGAGAGGATATATTTTATTTTTGTAGATTGTTGTACTTTGCACCTACAAAATGCTGAAAACATATACTCAACCACGTGTTTTAGTAATTCGTGAGTAGGCAGAAGCAACCAACACCTTTTAGAGGTAAAACCTCAAAATCATTAGTTCCGTGATTCTTCGAAATTGATAGTTGTCTGATTAGTTTTACTGGACACACTCTGGCTGAAGGCTCTCGGTCACGCATCCTCATCAGATCACGAGTATGTTTGCCATGCTACGCATCCCTTGCGTCCACTTACAGACTTACGCCTGGTACTCCCAATGGAGTATAGACCGCTGACCAGCATTCTCAAACCCACTCTGTCCCGGGCCTTCCTTTCTAGTTCTATCCAATTTTTTCCATTCTTCCCATGTCTGTCTCCATTCCTCGGCGTAATGTGCTCTTCGGTCTTCTTCTTCTCTTTCGACCTTAAGGGCTTATCTTTGATGTAGTTGGGTACTTTCCTCAATGTGTGTCCTATCCACTTCAAGCGCTTCTTTCTGATTTCCTCATCCGCTTGAATCTGGTTTGTTCTCTCCCACAGTAGGTTGTTGCTTAGAATGTCTGGCCAACGGATCCGAAGTATTTTGCATAGACAACTGTTAATAAACACTTGTATCTTCTGGGTGATGGCTTTCGTAGTTCTCCAGGTTTCCGCCCCATACAGTAGAACTGTCTCGACATTTGTATTAAAAATCCTGACCTTGGTGTCGGTTGCCAATTGTCTTGAGTTCCAGATGCTCTTCAGTTGTAAATATGCTGCTATTGCTTCACCGATCCGCGCTTTCACCGTGTTCATCAATGTTGCTGCCCAGATATGTAAAGGTTTGTACATCTTCCAAATCTTCTCCGTCAATTGTGATTGGATTGGTGCATGTTGTGTCGTATCGGAGAATCCAGCTTTTCTCTTTGTGTATATTGAGACCTACTGCTGCTGAGGCTGCTGCTACACTGGTCGTCCTCTCCTGCATTTGTTGTTGCGTTTGCGACAGAAGGGCCAGATCATCCGCAAAGTCTAGATCGTTCAGCTGTATCCTAGATGTCCGCTGTGTCCCGTGTCCTCCAGATGTTGACGTCATCGTGATCCAGTCGATCCCAAGGAGAAAGAGAAAGGGTGAGAGTAAGCAACCTTGCCTGACACCGGTTTTTACTTCGAACGAGTCTGTGACCTGTCCTCCATGCATGATTTAATCCATCATAGGAATTCCATATGATATTGACTATCTTCTCAGGCACGTTTTAGAGTCGAAGAAGCTTCCATAGTGTTGTTCTGTTCACGCTATCAAATGCTTTCTCGTAGTCAATGAAGTTGATGTAGAGTGATGAATTCCATTCAATTGATTGTGCCACAATGATCCGTAGAGTTGCGATTTGGTCTGTACACGATCAAACTTTACAGGATACGGCCTATTGGTCTCGACGTTTGGCATTTTTGGAGTCCTTTATTCTATTTAACAACACCCTATTGAAGACTTTTCCTGGTATTGAAAGAAGATTGATGGCCCTGTAGCTATCGCACTTGCTCAGATCGTCTTTCTTTGGTATTTTGACCAGGGGTCCTTCTTTCCAGTCTGTTGGTGCTTGTTCCTCATCCCAAATCTTATTGGAGAGAATGTTGAATATCCTTGCAGTTACTGTTACGTCTTCTTTCAGTGCCTCTGCTGGAATGTTGTCTGGTCCTGCTTCTTTGCCGCTCGTGACTTTTCTGATGGCCATGCTGATCTCTTCAATTGTTGGTGGGCTAACATTGATTGGGAGGTCCGTGAGTGCTACTTTGGTGTTAGGTAGGTGCAGTGGGGCTGATCGATTCAAGAGTTCTTTGAAATGTTCTACCCATCTGTTTCGCTGTTCTTCGATGTTAGTGAATACTTTGCCCTGATTGTCTTACACTGGCCTTTCTGGTTTACGGCGTGTGTGTTTTGCATTGGGTCAATAGTCTGTAGTGTAGTGGTAGACAATCTACCCGACCTGTCTTGAAACACGGATCAAAGAGTTTGACATGTGTGCGAGTCATCGGGTGTTACGAAACCCAAAGGCGAAGTAAAGGTTAATGTTCGGCTTATCCGGACTGAGGTGAGATTCTGTTGTCTTGCTTGTAATTCCCAAGTTGCGAACAGCGCGCATCACCGGCCGGTCCCATGACGTAGATATGTGACCTCGTGTTGTGTACACCGTCGAGGCGGAGCAAGAGCGTACACTTTGAGACCCGGAAGATGGTGAACTATGCTTGCGAAGGTTGAAGTCAGAGGAAATTCTGATGGAGGACCGTGGCGATCCTGACGTACAAATCAATCGTATAACGTGAGTATAGGGGCGAAAGACTAATCGAACTATCTAGTAGCTGGTTCCTTCCGAAGTTTCCTTCAGGATAGCTGGCATTATGGGAAATAAACAGTTTTATCCGGTAAGGCGAATGATTAGAGGCATTGGGGAGAAATCATCCTTAACCTATTCTCAAACTATAAATGGATGAGAAGCTGAACTCGCTTAATTGGAGTTTTGCATTGAATGTGAGTGCCAAGTGGGCCATTTTTGGTGAGGAGAACTGGCGCTGTGGGATGAACCGAACGTTCGATTAAGGTGCCTAACACGATGCTCATGAGATACCACAAAAGGTGTTGGTTGGTCTAGACAGCAGGACCGTGACCATGGAAGTCGGAAGCCGCTAAAGAGTGTGTAACAACTCACCTGCCGAATCAGCGAGCCACGAAGATGGATGGTGCTTGAGCGTTGGACCTATACCGGACCGTTGCTGTAAGTTGGGCCTATGCTGTGTGATGGCAAGCTGCACTTGGTTCAGGCATGAAGTAACAGCAACGAGTAGGATGGTCGCTGTGGCTCGCGGGAGGCCTAGGTGAAGCAACCACAGGCGCAGATCTTGGTGTTTGTAGCAAATATTCAAGTGTGTACCTTGAGGGCCGAGGTGGAGAACGGTTCCATGGGAACAGCAGTTGACCATGGGTCAGGCGGTCCTAAGTGATCCGGTAAATCGGAACAGAGACGAGGTGCCTGACATTGTCTGTTCACGGGCTTTGTTCAGTAATCTGCAAAGTACTGTTGCATTGCAGCCCCCTGTAGCGATAAGGAATCGGGTTAATATTTTTGACCCTGTCCACGGAAATCGATGCGTATCGGGCCTTTGGTTCGGCGTGCGCCCAGCGCGGTAACGCAGCCGACCTCGGAGACGTCGGTGGGAGTTCTGGAAAGAGGTCTCTTTTCTTTGTTAGGAGTGCATCCACCCCCTTGTAATCGGCTTGTCCGGAGATAGGGGGCTAGCCTCCGTGGAGCACCACCATTTTGTGGTGTCCGGAACGCTTTTATCAGCTCTTGAAAATCTGAGCGAAGCAGTATAAGTTTCGTGGCAAACCGTACCCATATTCGCATCAGGTTTCCAAGGTGAACAGCTTTTGGCAATTCAACAATTTAGGTGAGGCCAATCGGCAAAATGGATCCGTAATTTTGGGAAAAGGATTGGCTTTGGGGGCCGAGTCAGACAGGCCGAGATCAGATACGTGTCGGTCCAGTTGGGGGCTGGTTTTTATGCTGCTATGCGTGCTTCGGTGCGCATTGTGGTTAGGTTACTGGACTCTTACCCGGGTCGATCGTGGGCGGTTTCAGCTGTTAGTGTCGTGCAGCCAGCAAAGCCCGAGGACTTGTTCCACGTCGCGTCGCGAAGCTGTACTTCAATGGTCTGGCGCGCGACTGCTAACTCAGAACTGGCATGGACCAGAAGGATCCGACTGTCTAATAAAAACAAAGCATTACAGTGTCCATTGATTGGTCTTGGCGCAATGTGATTTATGCCCAGTGCTCTGAACGTCAAAGTAAAGAAATTCAACCAAGCACGAGTAAACGGCGGGAGTAACTAGCACTAGAGACATGTGCACTAGTGTTTTTGATCGCCCAATCGACACTTGCAACAGGTCTGCAGGCAACCATGTCAGCCATAACAATTTTATTTCAAACCCTAATACTTTCACCAGTGGCAACTCTAAGAACAGTCAAGCGGGACTTAACCTCAATCAAACTATTCACGACTTATTACCGTACAACTATCTAGTTAATGTAACGGTGAATCCCTATCACTAAACTACAAAAACTGAACACAAAGCAGCTGTAATCATTCCTCTTAAGCTAAAATGCTCAAATACTTTTGAATCTAAATCAAGTTATACCTTTACAGTTCCCCATTATCACTCCAGAGGCTTCGATGAAAGTCCGAAAAGACTTAAAATGTCCTAGAAATTGTTATAATGTCTGTAGCTGCTCGATCACGGAAATGCGAAATAACACAAGGAATGCAGCACACCTAGCTCACAACCTGCATCTGTCGACAGCACTAGATGACCCTAATCCGAACACGGTTAACTGACAACATCCACTCACTCTAGGGCTAAACTATACCTATCTAGCGTCACGCCTACTCATGACACCAGTAAGCTACTTTGAGTGAGTATTGAGAGTTCCAAGAATCAGAACACAACCATACATAATAGAAACACCTCCCTTGACAATAATCTCAGACAATGTCTCATTTCTAACCCGAAACGCACAGCACGCTTAGCTGCCCATAACAGGGCCGTAATGATCCAAAGTACTCAAGAAAGGTACAGCATTGGCCTATTTGGCCACCCACTTAGTGATTCTAGACACTTTCCGAGTCTAGCTGCTCTACGAAACTCTTTGGTCTCCTCAGTTTTACATTAACACCACCTCGCCCATTTTCGTTTCCAACTCTTGATAGTGTTTCTGGGAAGTCTCGAAGGCGATGATCCCACTCTTTTGAGACCAGTCTTTATACGCTCCAACCTAAAGAGGAGTGATATATCTTTCTCTCCATTGATGACTGTCCTCCACCATAAAAGGCTCTTTGGCTAAACCTCCTGGCCACTCCCGAAATACCCTTCTTATCCATTCGACTCACTCTACTCTACCTGTCGCTCCTAAACATATATCTTTCGCCAAACTACCATCTGACCATTCTTCTTCCACTATCCATAAAGAAACTAAGACAAACGAACATGAATATTGGCCCAGTACTCCTGACTCTCCCTCTTCTTCTCATGACAGAACAAACAACTCACTGCATTTACATCAAACCCTTCTATTGGATCTCATATAACAAATAGTAAAACCAACCAAGTTATTAGTTCTGGTGCTAGGGGTTGAAAAAAGGCGTGATGATTGTTTCACAAAATACATGAGCTTTTTTGATAAACAACAATATCATCTCAAAACACTGGTTCTAATCTTTGATTTTTGTCCCCCTCAAAATACTACACGCAGTCATTCTTAACGAATCAAATATTTTGTTTGCTCACACCAAGAAATAACTCCTAGGTTAAATGTAATGAATGAAAGGAAAGCGCCAGTTTGACGTCGATTGGTGTCTTCGTTTGTTGTGGGAGATGTCAGTTTGTTAATTAGCTAAAATACACTATGATATTATGGATGACAGTGGAAATAATCTTCACAAAAAACAGGGTACCAGGTTAGTATGTAGCAGTTTTCCTTTACTTCTTTATAATAGGGTCTTCAAGAAAAGCAGCCCAAATGGAAAAGTAATGGTGGTTTTAACTGTATTTTCTCGTAGATCACAACATACTTGTGCAAAAGGGATTTCATCGACAGTCTAGCAGATGTAGATCCGATTGGTGAGGCCTTTGTAATGTATTTGAGTTTTATATGTATTTCGAAATATACTTTTATGTGTAATATGTACAAATGACATGTTAACTGTCTTTATATCAAGCTTGTAGTATCAGCAGCTTTTCGTTCTACTTGCTACATGTCTGTAGTTACTTATAAAAGTTTTGCGGTGTCAGAGAAACCACATATTTTTGGATGTTATATGCTGTACCTATATATTTCAAAACCTCATTCCAACCAAATTTTATTTAGAATGATCTATTATTACATAGTCAGTGCTTTATGATATCATCTGGTTGCAGGACAACTGCACTTCTAAATCCATATGTGCAATTGGAGTGGCTTATTGGAGAACCGTTTTTGGGTATAATTGAGAAACTGGAAGGTGGATACAAAGATATTTTATCAAATTTTTTCTTTGAATTATATCAGACGACAGATTAACATTCTAAAAGTTAAAGTTATGGCGCTTTATTTCTGCATTACAGACATTTACATGTTGGACTCTCAGTTTCCTCACATAAATATTAAAAGTAATATAGTAATATAAGCATAGCTAGTCATATTAGTCAAACAGAATATACGAAATCTTAATTCAAAGTTTACGTGATTTATATACAACTTCTACTTTTCAGAGGGCGTCGTATTGGTTGACCCAGAGTATGTCAAGGGACGGAAGGTGTTCACTCACGTTTTATCAGCATTTCGTTATGGACGTGAAGATTTGGATGTACTTGGGTTGACGTTTCGCAAGGATCTCTATCTAGCCTCAGCTCAAGTTTACCCTCCAGTTTATGCATCCGAATCCGATAACTGTGGAAGGGTTCTATTAAATCCGGCAAGTACAGCTGTTTGTGGAAATTCTAAGCCTCCTGGTCCAGAAGTTTCTGAAGGGATAGATGATAGTTTACATTCTGGTACTCTTCCACTGACAAGACTACAAGAACGTCTGATTAAAAAGTTAGGAAGTAATGCTTTTCCATTTTACTTCAAGGTAAGCTTTTAACTTCGAGTTATTTATATTTTGTATCAAAAATAGTCCCTAGGCACCAAAGGTAACTTGCCAATTTTTTGCAACAAGAATGTCAAAATAACTCAACTATCGGAAAGTTTTGCCCATCGTAGTCGTGTGTTTGCTCAGTAATAAAAGCAACAAACTAAATAGAAATAGGAAGACTCACCGAAAGAAGCGTCTTGATTGTCTGAAAAAGTGCAGCTAGCTAAAAAGCGTTTGGTTGACCTAGTACAGATTGCTAGAGTATATAAACGTATTTTTGCGACACATAGCTTGGAAAGCGGGTCTTGATAAGATGATAATTGCACACTTTATGTTCCCAAAACAATTCTGACGAAGAGTTTACCTTTAAAAACTTCAAGTCAAACTCATGAATACCTTTGTTGAAATTACATAAGATATTGTGCATCACCTTGAAATGACAATTGGGATAAAGTGGATTAACAAGCCATCTGTTTGCGTGGTATGAATTCAAAACTGTGTTTATTGAGGATATTTGTGGAGAGGTTTAGTACCATCCCTTCCATAAACCATAGACGTTGGGTGTTATGGGCTAATTACAATGGCAAAGAAACACTTGATTTTTTTCAACCAGTTCTGAAATCTGCCTAAATTCAATTTCCATCTATTTATGCAGTGATTTTATAGAAAAACTTAGCTTTCGTTTATTATCCCGTCACCCATCTACTGGTTCACGTTAAATATATTTAGTATGGAGAAATATAAGAATTGTGTTGGTTGAATACCTGCTTTTTAATACAAAGTCACCAACTGTTCTTTCGGATCATGAGTAAAACTTGCCGTTAAATTCACAAAAATGTTGGATATATATCTTTTTGTACAACATTTGTTATGACAAAATACTTAGTGGGTATTCAAAAATGATTTAAAATGTTTAAGGCGCGATATATACTTCATGTTTGTGAAAACAGTTTACTGGTTTTGGACAACGTTTTGAAATGCTTGGTAATGTTTTACTAACCAGACTATCCAAACTTTCGGTAATCGTGTTTCTAGAAGAGATATTTAGCTCAAACTGCTATGCTTTTTGAAATAAAAAAGGATGGATTATAGTATCAAACAAAACACATTTTATTCACTGTTTTATGAATTAGTATTTTTACACGAGTAAATTGAGGAGTAGTCGAAAAGATTTCTGATGATTATGGACGTTTGTATACAAAGTGGCTTTGAATATGAGAAGACAGGATCTATTCCTTGAAATAAACAATAAACCTCCTGAAATTTCTTCGTTTTGATTTCTAAACTTGTGTTCAGATATTGATATTATTTTATAATAAGTTATTTCATATCATTTATCCTTCAGGATATTTATCAACTCGTGTTGTTTCGTTTTGCATGCATTTATTTTTTAAAGCTTCCTGCAGACGCACCTGCTTCAGTTACACTTCAGCCAGGTCCAAATGAGAACGGCAAAGTAAGCAAGACGAATAATTTGCCTTCTATTACAAAGTTTGCTTGAGGTTTATACATATCTACCTAACTTTAATCCATTTATAGATAAGGAGTATTAGATAATTACAGGAATAGAAAATTCACTTGCACTATGGTAATAAACCGTCTCAGTGGTATCTACCTTGGAGCAAGAAAGTTCGTGTTTTACAGTGTCATTAAATTAATTTCCGAATTCGATGACTTTATAGACGCTATAGTACGAATTGTTGGCAGTGAATGTGTTACTAATGGCTTTATCATTTTATCCAGCGCATTGTGTTTAGTTGCTTTGATAGATGGATATCCCATTGAATTTTCCTTGTTGGTTGTTGTACAAACATTAATCTCCTTTTTATAATAAAGTCGTTGAAAGCACAAATAATTTCATGTTGTTTAGCATAGATTGTTTAGGGATATAAAGCAATATATTCTGGTCAGACGGTTTCACTATGAAAATTGTTTTCTTGAACTGAAATCTATTTCTTTTGTCTAAACTACACTTATCACTATAACCGAGCCTTAGCAAATTACCTCCAAATCTGGTCTGCTTCATATGCCTAAGTGATATTAACTTTAGTTTTATAAATGTTTCAGGCACTATCGAGGATATGATGCTTCTGATTATAAGATTAATTCTAAAGTTATTATGGTTTTATCCTGACCAATTACAACAGTAATCGAAATGCAATATCTAATGCATATGAATGGTGTTTAAACCAACTGACTACCACCCTAAGTACATGAAAAAGTCCGAACATAGCTTATAGTCATTTTGCGAGGCCCTACTGTTAGTGTTTTCTTGACACAACACAATCACAAAAACTAGTGTCTCCGATGATCAAATTATCAAGTGTCTCGTGAATATTCATATGAATATTTAACGTAATTTTGTCAGACAAGTTTTATGTAACGAATCATGACATCATGAAACGGGCTTTATCATGTCATCAGTCCATACAATTTGAAAAGATCTGCCAGTAGATTCATATACTGATATTCAAAAGCTAGCATCGTCGATATTAATTATTAATAGTATGAATCTAATGTTGACACAAACCATCGACAATTGTTAATGTAAATCTTTCGAACAGAATAGAAGTGTTAATTATCTAATGTTCATTTAATATTCCAACAATATTTTCCTGTGACATAAATGATCTCAATCAAAAAGCCTTATACTAGTAATCAACATGTGCTCACTAGTAACTAGCTTCGTGAGGGAATTCTCGGAGTTCTAGTGAGAAGCCGTGACTAGTGGAGCTAGTCCATGTCGGGTAGAGACAGGTATCTACCTCAGTACAATGGAAGTTGGTCGCTCAATTTCGTGGATTGGTTGGCGTTAGACACTATCACCATTGGATGCCGGCTCAGTGGTCTAGTAGGTTAAGCGTTTGCGCACGAGACCGAAGGCCCTGGGTTCGAATCTTGCGATCGGGATCGGGGACGCGCACTGCTGAGGAGTCCCACACTAGGACAAAACGGCCATCTAGTGCTTCCAGGTTTCAAAAGGTGGTTTAACATCGGTTCATGATCTCAATCAAAAACTTGATAATCTCCACAACATCTATACTGGTGATTTTTAATTGTAAGTGAAATGTTCTGTCTACTATATAATATAAATTCAGTATTAGTTCACAGATAATTTCAAAATATCCTCGTACATGGAAGATTTTTGAAAATATTAAAATGATTTCATTTGTACTTTAAACGCTTTCTAAATGCATAAATTCAATGCCCATTGCTCAAAGTACCTAAATGTTATTTAGTGAACAGATAGATATTCAAACCAAAAACCATTTAAATCTCCATTCTGTCTTAACTTTTGATTGAAATGAGATTATAATATTCGTGTCAGCTAGTTGTTCTCAGTATTGAGCCTGGGATGTGCTTTGACGGATGCTACCATATGATATTAGCACAGCAAGATGAAACTAACAAGGTGGATAGCAAATGAGATCAAGGCACTATAGTGGCACTAACAAAAAGAAAAACTGATCATTTGAAATGTGGTCGGAGAAGACAGGGTTCAAAAAGTTAAATAGAAAGGATTACTGGAATACAAAATGAAGAGGAAATTAAAGAGTCGAAATATCTGCGCCACTGTGACCGATCCTGAGACATGCAGTCTAAAGTCCTTTTATTATTTTCATTTAAACATTTATACGTTTGTAAATTATTCAAAACTGTGATTTTTCATTGTATACTTCAAAACAATAATTTATTTTTCTAGCCATGTGGTGTAGACTATGAACTAAGAACTTATGTGGCTGAGACATCGGATGATAAATTACAAAAACGGTAAGTTATGTAATATTTTTGGAAATAAAGAATTAACAATTTGATTGATTGAAAAGTTAAAACGAAATAAACTGGAAAAAAGTTTGATAAAATTATAAAACCTGATCAAGTGTATTATATGTTGAGTTATGACTGGCAGTTAGCCGCTAGCTTGAACATCTAGGCCACTTGTTCTTGCAATCTAGAACAACAACAAGTTAACTGTTTTTTGCTTGTTTTAACAAATCCTAATATCTACTGATCGCATAAACTATTCAAGCGCATTTATGAAAGGTTTGAAACCTTTCATTGTAAAATTAGCAAAGAAGTGCAATCAGAGACATCGTGGTAGCTGACCATATGCATTGAAATAAATGAAAATTATTCAGATGTCAATTCTTAAACTGTTAACATTTAACTGACGGCCACTCAATATTTATCGTCAGAATCGATCAGAAAATAAGAAAAAGAAATTTTATCAGAATGGGTTTTGTGGAGATTGCTTAGAAATATCACTGGTTGAAATCATGAGTCAATTGAGGCTAGACCATCATGAAAAACCTGGAAGCACTGGATGGCCGTTTCGTCCTGGTATGGACTCCTCAGCAGTGCGCATCCACGATCCCGCACCCCACGGGATTAGAACCCAGGATACCGGCTCAGTGGTCTGATGGTTAAGTGCTCGCGCACGAAACCAGTAGGTCCTGGGTCCGAATACCGCGGGGTGCGGGATCGTGGATGCGGACTGCTGAGGAGTCCCATACCAGGACGAAACGGCCGTCCAGTGCTTCAAGGTTTTCCATGATGGTCTAGCCTCAATTGACTCATGATTTCAACCAGTGAAAAAGAAATTTGTCCTGTCTATATTGCACTAGAAATATAATGTTAAATAAAGCCATTAATAATAATAATAAATCAATATTGTATAAGTTCCATTTTATGGTTAAAAATGAGTTTTCGAACCCATGTTTTTTTGTCGTATCAAGGTATATTTTAATTTTCTCTTGTCTTGTGAGAAATCTGTTTAACATAAAACAATAGTAACTTAGTGAAACTATTCATCTAAACATACAAAATGAATCTTTAAAATGATTAGTTTATAATTCTTTAGTAATTTTAGTATTATTCTCATTCGAATATGAATAATTGTTTCTTTTTTGAAATGATCTACTTCTAAACAAATTAGATGTCTTCCGACTAAATTGTTTGCATTTCCCTCATAATAACAATATATGATAATGATTAACAAAATACTTTTGAAAAATGAGAGGTTTATTTGAATGAATAAATAAATCAATAGGCGGAAAATATTAAAAAAGTAACATGGTTTTATACATTAAGGAATTTTTCTGAAAAAAAGATTTTGATAATATTTGTTGCCTAGTTTCTATTTATATGATGGTGGTAAATTCTTTTATTTGAATTAAGGTTTATTAGTTCTTTTTTCATAATACAAATGAATAGTCAATGTCTAGTTTAATGTGTATTAAGTATATCATATATAATGCTGTTTAGTATTAGTATACAGACTTTTTCTGATTTGTTATTAAATAAGTTAATGTAAGGTTAATTCTTCTGATACATTGATAAGAGCTGAAACTAGCGAAAGATGACTATGTTGTTTAGCAAAATTAATCATTATTTGGTCAGATATAGTCGGCTGGAGACTATTTATTCAAGTCTCATGTTCTTTGGCACTCGTTATAATGGTATACCTGTAATATTGACAGAACTAGTTTTCGCTTACGAGTTCGATACAGCTTCATCAAGCTTCACAATTTTAGACGCGTTTTTAAAGACTACATAAACATGATATCAGTCACTACTTAGTAAGCAACTGTAAAGTTAATTGCTGTTTGAATTACTTTTTAACCAAAAAAATTACTGTAAAACAGTCCTTACAGAAAGAAGCATACAGATTCGCGAGCGCTAAAGATCTATTTTTTCTTGGCTTAGGACATCTCAAAAGAACACACTCATGTATCATAGATAAGATAACGCTACTGACTTAGCGTGTTTGAAATACAATGGATTTTCTGCTCTGATCAACTGGTAACAGTGCCATTTCATCATCAAAATGTCTCTGATAACTACTCAACTCACTGTACATTTATATGATTCTACTGATTATTACGATCTTACTTATGTATTATGTTCCAAAATACATAGTATGACTTAGTCACCTTGATTTCATTTATATGATATAAATGATTGCATACGCATAAATTTAATACCTTGCTAGGCAAGGATAATAGATATTCAGTGCACATAACCTGTTTGAGGTGAGTAGGTGATTGTATATTTTTCGTACTTCTATTGTGAAAACAATTTAATCAACTGTAAAAATGTATTCTGAACACAGTTTCGGTGAATTCGGTAAGTATGTTAAAGTAACGTGTGAATATACCGAACAGAAAACATAAGTAATTCAAATAAATCAAATCGCAAATTGAGGTTCATCATAAATTGATAGCAAGTGGAAAACACTTGGAAAATAGGGAGCATCAGATAGTTGTTTAACTATAGTGTAAGGCTCCTAAGCAGATAATACGCACATCTTTATCAAAAATCGGTCTGAAGACCTTCAGAATTTGCTACGAGTTCATTATCTTTAGACTGACAAGTTGAAGTTTGAAGGTACAGATTTTTACTTTGAAACAATTTACATTGTTAAGCGACATCAATCAACGACAGTGGATGAAGTGGTTGCCCTTCACCAGTTATTTCTCATTAGGACTCCTTAAGTTTAGCTGAACGCTAGTCTTTTAAGAGTGTTCGATTGATGGTAAGTAGAATTAATAAAGATAATATAATATTACACCGGTAATTCAAACAACCCTTTGTATTACTTTGATCTTCTTTAACGTTTCGGTATCCCTCAATTCTAATTCAGTTTCTTCATTATCTATTTATGGTGGCCATAAGTATGGAAATGCGCGCGTGTTGTATTTGTACATCACATATTTTAAAAAATTTTCGTTTTGCATAGACGTCTGTAGCATGAAAAGGGACCTTCGAACTAGTGAAATTAATATTATTCTTTTTAATATTCCGTTGAATATATTATACCATATAATAAATGTCTTTTACTGTGGATTGTATGTCTCATAATAATTACTCATCCTATACAATGTTCATTTAATACCAATGCCTGTTTCGACTAATACATTAGTTTTAAAGATTTTGTTTATTGGAAGTTGAAAATATCATATTTAATTTTGTTTAAACTATGTTTTTTAGTTTTAATGATTTTAAAAATACTAGTGAAATCATAAAAAAGTGGTGTGATTCATCACTAATTTTATGAAATATTTTATAGTGTCTACTTGAATGTCAATTCGTAGGTGTGTAACTGTTCAGTGGTCGACACAATATCAAAATTATGTTTTATCAAGATTATGATATGTTATTTGAAATATGCTTATGTAATTTACAATTCCTTACAATAAATGAAGGAATGTTTAAGTATTTTGTGGTGTGTATTTACTTCTTGAAGTGTTTTTATTATTTTATCTTAACAACAAGAAAAAACGTATCCACCATGAAATCCATCTTACAGAACATTTAATAGAAGTAGACTTTGTTGTTCAGCATACTGTGAGACGAAACATTAATAATTTTTCACATATCTGACTACTACCGATCACTTAGCTGTACTATCATTCAACTAAGTTGGAGAAGGGCTATAGGCTACCAGACCAATAAATCCCATCAGTATATCAAGTCGATGACTATTAGTCCAAGCTGTGTTTACAGATGCAAGGGTCCTTGTTTCTTGTTTATCATATACTTTCGTATTGATGTGAAATATAAAAACGTGCACAGATACACATAACCGGCTGTTCATATGTCAGGAGATTATTTCAAAATACTAAAAGTCATATAACTGTTACGTACGAATAGTCTTAAATATCGAAATCCAATAATAGAAAATACTAATATTTAGGGCTTAGTTAGATGACCACTGAGAACCAGAAAACACTGGACAAATGGTCTGTCATACTACAGGACTTCCAAGAAGAGCAAATCCACAACCTTGCTGCAGATCTAACCAAGAACCTTTATTCTCGTAGGTTAACATTTAAGCTTCAGGCAACTGATCCAGCATCTGATGGTTTACATGTCCAAAATCAACCAATTCGAAATATTGCGTGACTACCGTGGATTGTCTACTGTAGATAACTGTCTCACAATTGATATAATTGAACATCACTGGTTGCGGATCCTCACTAGAACTCCAGGAATCGCATCTTGACGCTAGTCATTAATAAGTATATTATTATTCTCAGTACAATGGAGTTCATCGAGAAATACTGATGAACAATAATGTATATGTAGTTGTAGTGTTTAGATCAATTAATAGAAAAACTTTAATTTGAATAACATTTTCTTTTATAAATTTAAAGTGATACAATAAATGGAATTGTACATTCAAACCATAAATTGTGTTGTATTATTCAATATTAACTATTCAAATAATTACAAATGAGTTGTTTGCATAAAACATCAACTCCTTATTCAGATATAATGATTAGTAGCTATTGTAGATAAAATTCTGAATAACTATGTGAATATCAGTTAAAAGTTCATCTTCTAGTTATTCATAATATACGCTTTTTTTTTTTTATAAGGAAAACTATGCTAAATTAACTAACTGCTAAATTTCTATTGATCATTTTATTAAAAACCAAGAAAGTCTAAAGCGTAAAAAAATGCCACATTTAACTGTTAGTACTAATTTGTTTAATGTGTCTAGTAAATACAGAATTTTTGTCTGCATTCAATGAATGTAAATATTTCTGTGTTGTGTTTCTTAATTACCACCATTTATTTGTTGAGATCTGTTTAATAAAGACATAATGATACAATTGGTAAAATAATTTATTTTTCTGAGAAATAAATAGTACCATGTAAAGATTTGATGTCCAAATACTTATGTAATACACAAAAATTTTGATACAATAGGACACTATAATAAATATTTTCTACACAAACAAAGAAATGAAATTTTGTCAAGAAATAAAGAAAAGTGAAGAAGTCTAATAAAAAATAACCCAGGGAACAAAAACAAGTAAACGAGAGTGGCATGTAGTAAAAGATACACTTCAATAAGAAAGTACATCATAGAACCCTTTTTTTAAATTAAATGAGGTTCTCATATTTTTCACAAAGAATGTGAAACAGAACTATAGTAGAGCTTCTACTGACTTTTATATTAAGCCATATATTTGATTATGTCTCTAGGATATCAACTGAGCAGTGATGATGAACCAACAGATCCCAATCCTGTACAGATCTTTTTCATAACCCACAAACATGTCATAAACTGACCTAATTTAGTCTTTTTTCAACCAGTCTCAGCGTCGATAAATGTTATAATGTGGAGGTCACTAGGACGACAGATCCAAGCCAAACAAGCAGGTATTTCAAGACGGTGACACCAGCCGGAATTATTATCACTATACAAAGATGCATGTTAAAAAATATCCCCATAACTAACATGGTGTTTATACTGAGTACCAGCAACCCTTCAGAGACAACGACGATCAGACACAGATAGTCACAGAACATCACCGACTCAGAAGGGTCAGGCTTCAAATGGATACAGCAAAACTGATTTTGCTGCCTAGTTGTAAACCTGATCTTTTAAGGTCAAATTAAAATCATGAATTCGACAAAGATGGTCCAGACTAGCATAAACCGCTTTGACTTTCACTATGCGTAGATTTATCTATTCAATTACGCTTCAACGAATACTTACACGGATTCGCAGACGCACGCACATCTCAACTTATTCTAACTACTTAGTGTCTACGAATATTGGTCGTCAACTGAATAAGTAAGATTTGTATCGTTTGTGGTTCATTGCACAGCAAGACAATGTAATCTACATACACATTATAACGGATATAAATCACTTCTTCTAAAGCTTTTTTCTCAGAATGTCAGTTGAAGAGAAAGGGTGAGATTGAACAAACCTATTTAACCTTGTTTCTGAAATGTAACAGTGGAGGGAGTTGGTCGCATACTCTTACTTCTCCTGAGGCATTTATGTACAGAGCATTTAAGAAGTTACTAAGTTTTTTAGACATCCCCTTCTTCAATAGCCGAACACAGAATAAAATCGTGGATTTCTCATACCTAATTATGAACCAGACTGTTCATCTAAAAGTTGCAATACTACCTGAGTGCTCAAATTGAAGTATGTGAAACGAAGTCTGAATCTGTAACTCAGTAATTAAAGATGAAAATGATTGCTCTGAGCAACTTGTTTAAAAAAGCACTTGGTAAAGTAATATTAAAACTAAACTACTAATGTTTTCACTCATGAGCTCGTGATTAATGTTTGAAAACAGATCGATTTTTATTATTTTTATCAAGATCATCGTTTCTATCATTCACTGAGTGTATGTACTTATACGTGTGTGCATTGTTTTTCTAAAAACAAAATTCAATTTGCCAATTATTTTGGTGATAATTGATCATTTCTATAATATGATTGAATGTTTTTGTTTTTTCATATTAAACTATTACAGCTCATTTACTCCAATTTTTGCAGCCGAATGTTTTTATGCGGAGCTATAAGCTACCGCCCGGACAATCAATTACAGTGTAATAAACGGTGAATACTAATATTAACAATAATAATACTAATAATGATAATAGTAATAACTGCAATTCTTAACAATTAATAATACTGGTATTAATCAAACTAAAATTGTTCTGAGTGTTTTGGTTTATATATTTATGGTGATGTTATATTGTAAAAATATCTGAAAATTTTAACGTGGTGTAACGTAAATTATAGTAAGTAAGATAAACTAACATTTTCTGCTTCCTTATTGATGTTAATAGAACCCCGATGAAAGAAAGAAGTTTTGATTAACCTATACTTCATTAACTAACTTTTTTTGAGTGTTTGAAACTGAGTTCGTGCTTCTATTAAATTGCAATTAACATAAAAGAAATAATAGATAAATGGAAAAATACATAAGAAACAAAATGAAGATGGTTCAATAAAAGAAACATTTGTCTTCAACGACATTCTTTACTTGAGCTGTATACTTGTATGTCGAAGACAAAGAATAAGAGAATAACTAATACTGAAAATTTTTAATAGTGGAAGAAGTTCAAGGATAATAAAATAGAAGATTGAATGTGTGATGTTTTCTCACTGAGATCATGCTTGAGTTAATGAATTACTATAGACTCAGCAGTGCACAAGTTTACTGTCTACGTAGTAATGCAACGTAGTGCCCAAATAGACGTCCGGCAAATGCAAACTCTATACTGTTAATATAACATGCCTTACAAGATCGAGTAAAGTGGTAGATACAAATCGATAGTACAAGTAACATTTTTTGTGTCTGTTTGGTTGCAAGCAATGTTGAAGTTAGGCATAGGATACTGGCAAACCAGTCGATGACGTAGTGAACCTTTATCGACTAAGGTGACTAGGAGAGATTCTATGTATGTCTAACCACCGCCTACTCCGATGAGGAATGCTTAGCAATGCAAAAATAGGTTGGAAGAAAGGTAGTTGCAATAAAACTAAATCGTGACAGTCTATGAAGTCATTGAGTGTTGGTTCGAGGCATATTGGCAGATGCAGACTATTTGGGCAAGGTCAGTGTGATAACCATGATCAGTATCTGGAGACGTTTTGTGAAATGAATCAGAATCGTTTACAGTGACTCAGATATACTCAATTTTATTTTACTGTCGATTTTGTGTTCCGGTACTCCTTCATGTATACTTTCCCAATGGATTTTTGAACCCTTTTCTTTTTTAACCGTGATTGCTATTACGTTGTTTTGATCACTTTTGCTATTGATTTGCCTAATTTCACTTCATCGTGCTATTGTGGCATGGAAACTTGAAGCCACTCAACTTTGATAATGACTGACTGTGTGTTTGAGTGTGTATCTATGAAAACAGAAGTGATAAACAGGAGACAGGTATTATAATTTATTCTATTCCATTATATAAGAGAAGTTTAATGTATACGGTGATATTTGGAGTGACTTTTTTTGTTAGTTAACAAATTTCTGTAATCCATGCCTGCGCTAAACTGCTTTATAATGCAAAATCTAATCAATACGGTGTAGCATAAACTCACAATAACAACAATTATGATGAATACTTGTTTTTTGTGCGTGAATGATTTTCTCTTAAAGTTAACTTTAGCGTTAAACTATTATCATTCTCTAATTTATATTTTTCGAAATCAATAGTAATGCTGTTCGACTTGCTATTCGTAAACTGACTTATGCACCAGAAGAACCAGCCCCACAACCATCTGCAGTGGTCCTTAAAGAATTCATTATGAGCCCAGGTACACTTCGTTTGGAGGTCTCTCTAAACAAAGAAGTAGGTAGTTGTTTTACTGGTTTTAAACTTTTTCTGTTTATTTGGATTAATCAATTTGCTTTAAATACTTTCATTCCAGATTTTAAAATCTCTAAGAACCTATAGAAAAATAACCCAAATAAATATTATTTAAAGATAAGATTGATTATAAAATGAATAGAGAAGGGAATGGTAATATAAAGTCTACGAGTTGACACATAATTTTCCTACTGATAACACTTTTAGTAGTTTTTAACAGTCGAATTAATGAGTCTATTAAAGCTAGACCACCATAGAAAACCTGGAAGCGCTAGACAGCTATTTCGTCCTGATATGGGACTCCTCAGCAGGGCTCATCCACGATCCTGCTCGTAGGATTCGAACGCAGGACCTATCGTTCTCGCGCGCGAGCGCTTAAACTATAGACCATTGAGCTGGTATCCAACGGTGTTAATGTCCAACTTTAACCAATCCACGAAATTGCACGACCATCCACCATCGTCTTCAGCTAGTAACTGTTTACATTGACGGTTGACCTCCACTGGCCACGGCTTCTCACTGGAACTCCAGGAAATACCTCATGAAGCCAGTCACTTTTAAGCACATTTTCGGTATTGTTGAGTTTTAAGAGCCACTTGGTTAAGTCGCGACAATAAATGCTTCACAATCTATCCATTTCAAAGAATGCCACACCATAACAGCCTGCCCAAAACTCCAACCGTTTTCCTCTTTTTAATGAGTATCTTACTGATTAAGTCAAGGATAAAACTTTTCTTTTTTCTTGTGTGTGGATTGTATTTGTTTGAATTTTAGATATCCGATTTGTAGATGAAATTCCATGGGACTTTCTCGGAATACTGATTACCGAATACTTGCATCCTGTTACTTTTGAATAACTGAGCAAAATTATTTTTTAATGATCTTTTTTACTCAATAAGTTATTACAATTTCTGATCATCAAACTAAACTGTAATTAAATAGATCCATTAGTTTACAAATAGTAATAGTCAAACATAAGATGTTAAATGTTTGATAAAGAATCACTTCAATATTACACAGTCACACTCATTGGTCTGTATTATATGTATTTGCCTTTACTGCTATATTAAGAAACATAATTTCGTTTCTATGAACGTTTCATCATGTAAGCTTATCATGTATTGATACGATGCAAAAATATCAAAAGTGGTTTTCTTCGGGGATTATACTCAAGTATAAAACCTAAATACATAATCCAAAACGTAATGAAGTGATATCAGAAGATAGCATCACATGATAGTTGATAATCATACTAGGCTGATGCATTATGTTTTCTATTTTCGAGTCGAATATCTTATTACATGTAAAGAATGCTTCCTTAGGTAATTCTGGAGTGCAATGAATGCTTTTAATTCTTTTGTAAAAGGTTTAAATACATATATTTTGTAGTTTATTATCAAAACTGCTTATATTGTTCTCCAATGAATTATAAATGAATCACTTTATTTTTCGTTTCAAACCGTATAAAAAGCAATGAAGTTATTCAACATTGTAGCTATATTTATATAGAGTGAATTTCGCGAAAATGGTTTTATGACTTAAAAAGCAGATTTAATCACGTACTGAGATTCACTAGTAAAGCATTATAAGCATAATGGATAGATCATAATTAAACAAATACTGGAAATCAGAAAGCATCAGTAAACTATTTTGTCTTATTACTAAAATCCTAAGCAGGAAACATCTACGTCCTTACCGGAGATGTAATACAGAACGTTTGGTGTCATGCGCGAACGTTTATGTTTTAGACAGCCGATCCGGGGACCGATTGTGTAGATTTTCGAATCCAATCAGTTAGCAATGTTGTTTGACCATCTTGCATTACCTGCTATGAATAATTATCTCATATCCAATATTCTTGTTAAATAATTATCAGTAATATACACTAACAACACTGATTTTACATTGATTATAAATGTACATCCATTGATCTGTTTTCTCATCTATTTGCTTTCTTTCTTCATTTCCCTCTTGATTCATTTTCTTGTTCCAACCAATGATAATACCATCATCAACAACAATAAATAGAAATATTATCATGGTGAATCAATAGATATCAATGTTTTGGTAGACAATAATTCAAATAAGACAGTGAAAAAAAATCAAATTGTCAGGTAAGTATCTCTCTCTCTCTCTACACACTCATACATAGGCAAACATTTACACAGGTTCGTACTTACAAATTATTATGCCTATTATTTGCAGACATTTTTTTATTGTCCAACATGATCTATTGTATTTTCTTAACCTGAGCTATATTAAAATCGTTATTTGAGAATTCAACTAACAAAGGTGTTTTCCTTGAATTTCGACGTTATTTTATGTATACCCAATTTGTTTTTAATTAATAGTCTGAGTTATTAAGGATGTATTTGGACTGTCACAGATGTAATATAATGTAAATCAGATGAAATTGGGTTGAAAAACTCGATTATATATATATATATATATATATATATATATATATATATATATATATATATATATATATATATATATATATATATATATATATATATATATATATATAGTACAAACAGTATTTCTGACGTACACGATTTTCTGATAAAATCATTAACTGTATAGCCACAAAAATTGTTGTAAACAATTATCCAAAGAAATGTCTGTGAATAGTTCGTGAGAATTGAAAAAATTCATTTATTTGTCGACAATGTCCAGATTAATCATGACGTCAATAAAAAAAATATAATAATGATAATAATTACTATTATTATAGTCATAATAAGTAATCCTAGTCATTAAAACTAGTTTTCTCTAATTAATCAAAAATACCAAAATTTGCCAAATTTACCATGTTCTTTTGGATTCCATCAAAAAACACCGATTGTATTTTTTTTTCCTTCTTATCATGATAAACAACAACTTTCGATTTATCTTGTTTTGTTTCCTTTTTTTGTTTCTCTACAAGAAATCTTGATTTATATTTCTATATGATTGTAACTACACCGAAAACTTTCAGTGTTAATACAGAGTACAAAAATAAGTATTTCTTTTGTCGATTTATTTATTTATTCAATAGTTCAGAATCATTTTGAATAATTTAGATACTAATTGTTATAAATATTCATGCTTGGTGAATGTTTGATTCTTTGTTTTAGTTGATTGAAATAGTAGTTTTGGTCAACTGTCAATATGATTAAGTAATTTTCTCCAAAATTAGTACTTTAATATGTTATTAAAATTTTTGCAATCAATCAAATATTATCTAATAAAAATAATAATGAAATTATAATGAGTAATATATTTCATTGTTTACTAAGTTTGAATTTCCATAGTCTTGACTGGTATTGTCAGTTTAACTATTGTAGTAAAACTCTGAAATAAGAATAGAAATGTTAGTTAGTTTAATAAACTAAACTGGTTAGATAAAGGTTTAAGTTAGTCGATAAGTTTTTGTTTATTACAATCAAATCAAAGTAGGGAAGGTTACGATTAGATTGTTTATTCATCACGTTGAAAGATTTTAAACTGATTTACTTGACATCACGAGTCAATGTAAAGTTTCCCAATTTTCCTTTCAAGAATTTTGATTCTTCCTGAACATATTCAAAATTTCTTAGGTATTTAGGCGTTTCTACCAATGAATTTTTTTCATTAAATATACCTTAATGAACGTATGATATACAGAAGTCGTTATTCTTTTGTTTGTTAAGTTTATAATTGAAAAAATGTATACTGGATTATTTTCAGATAAAAATGTTTTTTATTCAATCCAAGCACAACAGACGAATATCTGTCAGCCTTAAACAAACTCTGTTGATTGGATCTTTTTGATGTTCTTACATGAATATTTGGATAATATTTATTATTTATACTGAATTTATGTCTATGGTTATTCCAAGGACTATTTTTATTTCAGTGATTACATCTTTTGCATACAGGAAACGATTTCATATAGTTTAAGTATTGTCTTTGAATGAATGTGATTGAATGGTAGCTTTATACTAATTATTATTACTACTTATTACCTTACTTTTTTCCAAATTTCATTCTTACAAATATATTACATATACGTTTGTTTATGTACACTTCCGTTTTATTATTCTTTCTAATTTCAGTTTTATTGTTATGAGTATTTCATTATTCACTTCAGTACGTAAAGTCTCTTTATAATCAGATTTCTTCTGTGTATACTTGTTGTTCATGGTTGCAATTAAGTGTATATTCCTTTGTTATTTTTCCTTCTCATTAATTAAACAGTAGAAGATAATTAAACGTCATTTTTAATTGATGTATCATAAATTTTCATCTTTCTGTATGCATTTCTATTTTTTCCTGTCGTAATTGTTTTTGATCACATTTTCCCCCTTAAAGTTATTCAAATTACAGACATTACATTGTTTAGTCGTGCCGTATACAAATGTACAGTTGATGAAGCTGAATATGAGTAAGAATTAGTTTAGTGTTATCTTTAATGCATATAACTTAAATAATTATGCATACATATATATAACTCTTTATTCATGGAGTTTATTGAATGATCATATATCCTTACCTTTTGTGAATGTGATGTTGGAATAGTTTTCATCTTGTTTTTATTACTATATCGATTTTGGGTATGTTTTCTTTTAAAATTATTATTATTGTGTGTTATATCTGTGTTGTTATTGTTGTTTCTTTTCAGTTATTTATGAGATTCCCAAGAGAATTGTTCATCTCCCAATTGTTTAAATGATTTCAATAGTTGTATACACGGTTGAATATTCAATTATACTTAAAAAATTTCCCTTTTATTTAAATCGTTTGAAAATCATTTATTACTGCATTTGAATAGTTAACTAAAAAACGACTTATTAAGCTAAATTGGGATGACATAAATAGGTTCCATAAAGTACTATTCTATACGATAAATTTCATGGAAAAGTATCACTGTACATAAACAATCATTTATAGATTTGAACTGTTTGTTTATATTACCAAGTATTCACTCTTCAACATGGAATATGTAAACTTCAGTAAAGTTTTATACTTTTCTAAGATGAAGTCTACGTCCATTCTATACAAGTTCATTCATATAATAATTATTCAATTAATAATTTGTTTTAGTGGAAAACATGCAATAAAGTTATATAGTCATACAAGAGAATACTATTTTACAATGATATTTTATATCTAGCGATAGTAGCAATAATTTCCAGAATATGACAACAGAAAATGAAATAATCAGAATTACAGAGATATTGTTTCTAATAACAAACTGGAAATATACTTGGTTAATCTTTAGAAATTAATTTTAAAGAGTGCCATAAAAACTAGGCAACTATTTTTATTATAAAAATAAATTACAAAAGAGGATAAGATAAAATTTTGGTCATAAACGGTTTAAAAGCTTGAATAAATCTCTTAAGAGTATGTTAATTGAGCAGAGAAGGAATAGGTGATAATTTAGTAAAGCTAGTGATTGTGTTTGTGGTAGGAGAAGAGGTTGAGTAATTTTATTTAGGTTACATAGTTTTGACCTCTGTATGTGAATAAAATCTCGAAGGATGTAAAAGTTAACTACTTTCGGCAGGTAATTTTTCATCTGGTATAGGATTTTAAATGATTAGCACTTTATGATCGATTGGCCTGTATGCTCACGAGTTATCTATTACTGACTTACTGTGAATCTACTACTGTATCTTTTTAACCAAGCAATTTATGCCTAGCTTCACAAGAACAAATACTGGAGTGGCTGAGTCTGAGGTCTCTTCCTCTATTCTACTGGTAAATATGAGTAGACTAAAGCATATCAAACTTAAAGGTGTTGAGAACCAGAAACTTTTCCTTTAAGACAGGTGCTCTTTGTCACCTTCTAGGTCAATTTTTATTATATATATCTTTTTTAATGAATCTCTGCAAAGTTTGAGTTTCCCGTTCTCTTCAAAAAATTCTGGCTAGTATACGTTCCCCATTAGTAGTTGTTTTAGGGTCGAGAATTCTTCTATGATCTCGTGCCTACAAATAATATATAATTGTTTCTATACATCTTTGTTAATGAAATCGTCGAAAATAGATTTGTTTTACTAAATTAATTATTTGTTTGATGAGAATTTATTAACAATAACAATCATGAAAATTTATGAGGATTTTTAACCAAATGGTTTATTTACACTTAGCTCACCGAAAAACTAACCAGTTTTCTGATGTTTTGTCAAATCCATAAACTATTTCGATACATATATATATGTTTATTCTGAAATAAATACGTCATTTGTGTATGTTTATTAATTTTTCTATAGGGTACATTAGTTTACTTATTTTAAGAGGAAAGATCCATTAAATTTTAGCTCCTATACATTTAGATATGTTAAAACATGTTCAATCGGCTAAACTGTAATATTATTCTAGAAATAAACTTCCATTTATGTAATGTTTATGTCAGCAAGTAACAATATTCATAAACTTTTAGTATTATACAATCGTATTGTGTCCAGAAGCAAGTTTATTTGTAAATAGCTTATACTTCAAATGGAATTGTGAGTACATTTCATTCATGTTGAAGTACATTTAATAATTTTCATATGTTTGATAATAGCAACAAATCGATCAGTATATTGTTTTTCAAAAACATACATCAAGTTTTGGGCTTGACATATAAAGTCAACCCTACTACTAGCTATCTTTAGTATTTCAGTCAACTTGTTACTCACTGCAACTCAAATATATTCCGTTTCTTAAGACTTCTGGTTCTTTAAATTGTTTATTGCTGAAATATTTAAAAAGTTTTGTCAGTTTTTAAATAAAAATAGGAGAATTTTTAAAAATTGTAAGGTTTTTACTATTTCGTTGGTCTTTTATATTAGTTTGTAACATTTCTTGTGAGTAACTTAATCGTACTAAGTGTTATTCTCTGATTACTTATACAGTAAAATATTTTAGTCCACTTATTAAAAATTCATTCATGTAACTTACAGGAAAGCAAATTATTTCAATGATCTGATGTTAACTTATTTTCTTACTGACGGTTATCAAAAGAATTTGGTTGTCTTCGAGTAAAGATTTCCTAACCACGAAGGGAGGTGTTCACTAACTCTTTGGTTCAATTACCTGGTAGTGCGCCCAATATAGCTTTCTCCACAGGAGCAGCTGAATTCTTAGATGCACATAGAAGTGGCATAACCAGGTAACTTATCCCTCAGTTGGGGAATCACCACAGATCGGGTCGAATGCGATAGACAGAGGTTGACAACAGTAAACGTTCTCTTTACTGCTCTAGTCAGTCTGTCATGTAATACATCACTATCTACATCACCACTGAATTGCAGCTTCAAGAATAGAGGTTTCTTATGAGCCGTTAGTGTCACTATTTTCTTGCTTGTTACACGCAAGTGTTTCTTCAGGAAATCCTGTGGATAACCTAATCCAATCAACATATTATAAATATGCTCTAATTCCTTATCAATTGTGTCAACTGAGCATATCTTAATAGCTCTATTTGCCAGACATTTGACTAAGTTTCTCTTATACTGAAGAGGCACAAAGCTTAAAAAATGTGTGTATTGGCTTGTAGGAGAACTTTTTCTATACACACCTCTATTGATAGAACCATTTTCTTTTCTATTTAACAAAACTTCAAGGAAATGTAGTTTATTATCTATTTCTTCTTCATATGTAAACTTAATTGCAGGATGTTTGTTATTAAATAGTTCTAGTAGTTGTTCTTCTCTAATGTTCTGATCGGCAATGATGAAAGTGTCATCAACGTAACGACAGTAGAAATCAAGCTTATTGATAACCTCTTTGAGAGGTCCGTGCGTCTACGAATTCAGCTGCTCCTGTGGAGAAAGCTATATTGGGTGCACTACCAGGCAAGTGAACCAAAGAGTTAGTGAACACCTCCTTTCGTGGTTAGGAAAAGGTAACGTCAAGACAATACGCAGCTTGGTTCTATCACACTTGATCGATAGCGGTCATGTAGTGGACAGGAACAAGTCATTTAAAGTTATTTATCGTATTCCCACCAGTTTTCCTTAATGTGTTCGCTCTCGTCTCTTATACATAGCAGAAGCTATAGGAATTCGAGCCAACAAGCGAAATCTTTTTGTTCAGAAGAAATTTGTAACACCCTTATCTCTTCCTTGGCCTTAATAAATGAATTTATTTGTTATTTTTTCAAACTTTCTCTTCGTTTATTATTTTTCTTCGCCCCCTCCTACCATTTTATTTTCTCTCAACTATACGTTTTACAGTCCAATTATCTGAACACTTTCTATTACGTCATTTTATAAATGTTATCTCACTGTCTATATTTTTCTAATCATTGACCTATTTCCGATTATGTAACATTGGTTTGAGCCTTTATTATTCTTATCAAAACTAATGCACCTGTTATCACACTACTAATTTGTACTTTTCGCTTTTCACTTATGTAATCGTCTTCATTGTTATCATTGACTTATAAACTACCTTGATTGGTTTAATAATTTCATATATGCATTTAAATATTACTGTATATTCGAGTAAAGCGTGATGAGGATCTAATTGAAAACAATATTGTTCGCCTACATATGTTGTTCTAAATTTTACTTTCTGCTAATTATATAGCTATCTTTTAATATGTCACCCGTTATCAGGCATGAATAATAATGAGATAGTAAACGCAGCCAAGATTTAAAATGTTTCGTACAGTTTTGTGAATGCTGGTTTAATCAATCACAATCCTCTTCACGAATCAGAGCACACTAACCTATATAAACTCGAAACTTGCTGCAGTCGTCCCAGTACCGTTTAGCATCTGAGTCTTAGTTGGTTTGATGTTCCTTTTGCGATATTGTCGTAGATATTGATTCATTAGCTTCTAAAACAAACGTATAACTACTAACAGCATCAACCAGTAAATTCATAATTAGATTTTACAACAGGATAATTCACTTTTAGGCTGGTTATAAGGGAAAACTAAACGCCATCTGGGCAGTTTATAACATAAATATCACAGATTAGTACAGTGGCACAACCATAACGGTATCAAGAATCCTAATTGATCACTTACCCTTTATGTATATATTTGTATTGGTCAATAACCAATTACATTTAGCGAGAACAGGTCAATTCCGAATTACCTCGCTTACATGACTGTGAAATTCATTGTTATTACCGATAATAGCATGTATTACAGCATCTCAATCACACTGGCTTTCAATATAACGAGAAGGGACTACCAAAATATATGAAGTCTGTTACTCGGCAATTCAAAAGCGCACATTCTTGTCAATAAATTCTACTTGTTTAACATCACACCGTTCATAACATGACTAATTAACCTCCATTTATCCGAGAGATTTTTCATCCTTTGCATTTATACTGACGTTAATTTTCTGAGAGCTCATAAGGGTGGCATGCAAGACCATATACTTCCACGTAATAAGATGCAGACACGGTTGAAATCCAAAATTTCGTACCAAATCACCATTAGTATATCTCCCTAAATAACTTTTGACATGTGTGAGATTTTCATCACTTTGACATTTTGGGTTCTCAGATATCACCTCATCTCGGTATACTTTTCAAGACATGTATATAAACTACAATAAATTATTTGCGGTTGTTTTTGTAAGTATAAAATTGAATATTACACATTACACCTAGGTTAAATTAGAAAAATACGTAAAGTATTAAGGCAAAGTTGAAAGCAGACTCAGATAAAACAATTAGAAATGACAATTGATTACACGAAACGTAGGTTTATATGATACTTGTTTTTATAAATATGTTTCTATACCATTTGACTAATCACTTTTAAATAAGATTATTACTTTGTTACTAGGTGATAATTTTACGAAATTTTCAACCTTAACATTAGCAAATCTTTTTTAATCTGAGAATCCAATTTTATTACAGCAGCACTTGTAAAACCGTGCTGATTTTCGCAAGTGCTAATCAATCCGCTTATTGTACGAATAAATGAGTAGAAAATCCAATTCACTGACTAAAATGCCTTTGTATATCAAATAACACAATGCAGTTATTGATTTCAAACTTTATTGAACAAATAATCATTTCTATAGTCTACATATGCTTCATAAATTGGTTCAATGGAAGTTCATTCTAGTTATACTAATCATTTACAAAGAATCAAAAATTTTGTTAATTAATACCTGGGTAGCGTTACAATGAACTACGACTTTTTTCTATACCTACTAGCTGTTTACAGTCTTTTCATAATGACTCCAATGTTGTTGATATCTTATAACGATTTTAAGTTATTAATAATAAACACATATTTTTCAAAAGTAAGTTTACTGAAACCGGAATAACTTAACTAAATAAAAATATACTCTTTCAAATTGGGCGTCAAACAAAATAGTTCAGTACAAGTGTTGACTTACATATTATCGTCTTCTCTTTCATATGTCAAATAAACTATGATTTTTTGTGATTGACTCAATTAATGTTAATGTAATAAACTGAGTTGATTTATAAACTCTTACAATAATTCCATATTAGTAATATCCAAAAATAAATACAAATGTTGATAATGAATATTTTCATTATTTTAGATTTATGCTTTTATATGTGTGTATGTACATATTTTTCTTATAACCCTTATATTATTTTATTTTATCCAGTTTAATTTATCATTTTTATTCTTCTTTCACAATGCATGCATTTATTTACAATAATTTTTTGGCTACAATTATTCTCGTTGACCTGGTTTATTGATTCACCTACTCGTTCCTTCGTTCGTTCGTTCGTCCATTGGTTCAATCTCACTTTAATCTACTACTGTTTTTGATTATTTCTACCGTTTGATGAAAATGATAATAAAATGCTAATGGCATGTACAATTACTTACACATATAATCTCTGTTGGATGTTGTTCACTGGGTGATTTTATGATAAATTTGCACAATCTCTATATATATACACATATGTTATGTATCTGCTATGCCTCGTCATATTATACTCCTCTACGTAGTTCGTCAGTATACTCAATTATGCTTACACAATAACAATCGTTATAACTGTGTTGTGGATGAATTAGAAACTGAGTAAGTTTTATACATTATCGTATTGTTAGATTATCATGATCATTGTGTATACATACTTTATATTCTTTATTCATTCATACAGTATTAGTGTTGTTAAAGTTTTTTTTTAATCTTCTTTGTGTTTCAAATATTCCTTTACACATACCTATTTGTGCATGTTAGTTATTTCTCATAATCATATCATTCATTGTTTAATATAAATGACATGCTAATAAGTGAGTTTTGACCACATATACATTGAAACTAGAGTTTATTTACATTTAAAACTGTTAATGAACCTCATCATATTCATTTGTAATTTTATTATGAATTATTTTAGAATTTATTCTGTGTTCGATGATACACCTATTGTGTTTTACAACAAATTATAAACATTATGACATTTCGCGTAATAATATACGTATATATGGTTAAGATTGTACATTTTCTACATTTAATTAGAACTGTTCATTTCCGGTTATTGCATTTCAGTTAACAACATAAGAATTCTTCATAAATATATTGATTACTTATTGCAAATTAATGATAAATAATTCATTTTTGTATTGGTTGTTTGAATTTTCCTGTCGATGCTTAGGACTGAAATTGATCAGTCTTATTGGCATATATGCATCCTGTGTGGATTGCTTCGATATTGCCTTAAGTCACAAACATTATAGGCAAGGCTAGATGGTAGCTAGCAGTGGAATCCAGGACGCGTGTTTCGTCTCATTTGGGTCCCGAAGCAAACCTGAACTATCACATGCATAAACATCTGGCTGACAAGCCTAAAACAATACGAAATGCGCGTCCTGGATTATGCTGCTGGCCACTATCATCTCTGTTTTATTTCTGCTATTATTTAGCAGTATAATTCAATAATCTTGTCAATTGGTTATCGTTATCGTAATAGAGAAGTATATTATTTGCATTCGCCTGTGTAGTTGATAATCTGAATTGATACCTCTCAATCCTTCAAAGCTAGTTTACTTTTGAAAAAAATAGTAATGAGGTTGTAAATGACTAGATTTCATGAGACAAAACGACTAAATAGCTACCAATAATACAATAAAATGATTATGAATGGTAATTGATCACTTATCAGCCAATAAAATTGGGACTTTACTTAGTTTACATTGAATTAATATTGAAATTATGTCGAAGTTGTATAAATGAGATATTATTCGACAAAAAGCGCACATAATGTTTGCCAAGATTACTGAATCGATAAATTGCAGTTACAGTGAGAAACAAAATTATGATCTAACATGCAATTATTAAGTTGGAAATATCTTACAAAATTCCAATGTATGTTGTTTTTCTAATTAAAAAGGAATGTATTTATGTACAAGATCATTGTTAAATTGGAAAAAGTTCCTTCACATATTGTTATTATTATTATGCAAAAACATCATAATATCTTTACATAAACTTTACTGCATTACATTGTCGAGTGTACTGGGTCAGTTCAACTTTTAAACTAACGATTTTTCTAGTTTGCACAAACAATATGAATTACGATATTATAATTTATGTGAATACATTCGAAAGATTTCTATTATTATGGATATTAAATCAAACAGGGTATCTTTATAAGTCTAGCAAACTCAGTATTTTAATAAATATAGTACTTCATGGAGGGTGTCATTGTCAAGCCAATATATTGTTTTCAGCTTGTACTTTATTAATAGATTCATTGTAGCAATACTTATGATTCACATCCCGTCTCAACTTATTTCAACTAACTAATTCTAGGAGGTGTCATTTATCTTTTGTTTGAATATAGTTTAGCTGTGGTTTCGTATTTACTAAAATAATTCCCTTTCAACCTCTAGATTTTAAATACAAATTTTGTTTATTATTTTTAAGTGTGAGTAGTATCATTAGGTTTTATACAACGTATTCGAGCATAATAGAATGATAATATCGACTTATTTTATCGAAATAGTTTGTATGATCAATTATATGGAATTTGAATTATGGGATGTAATTTGTGATCACGTATATATTAACGTAATTACTTTGAACGAGAAAAAAATCACTTTGAATATCCAGCATACAAAATGAATTCATTGATAGTAATTAGCTTTAGTAAAATGTACATTGATTAGTATAGTGTATCTAATAAAGAGTGGTGTTTGTACTGTCAATGTTCTATTAATTTGAAAATTAAAACATGAATTTTCTAGCCATTGAGTGACTTCACTATGTGATTTATTAGTTTTTCTCTAATTCTAATTCTACTATTCAATAATTGATTTTCGAATAATCTAAACAAATTAATGAGAAAAATGTTTTATTCGATTAAGCTTTTTAACATATCTTTGAACTAGTACAACTGAATTTTACGATTAGGTATAGAAAAACATGTCGGTTAGATAATGGACACGATTGATTGTGAGCAATTCAATATCAGAATTAATGGTGACAGTTATGATGATGATGATAACGAGTATTTAGGAAAATAATTCAAAGCTTGAAATGAACATGGTAATTATAATGTTGAATAAGTTTTATTCAGTGAATACGTTGTTATAAAATAAACAGCTTACTTAGTAATCAGTGTAAGAGCTGAAAATTCTATTGAACTGTTTATATGTTAAGATTAAGTGTTTAGGCATCAAGAAACAACACATATAATTCAAACCTAATAAAACGAACACACAGTCATTGTAGACCCTATAACATTTAGAAATCAATCACTCTCATTCACTGCAATAAATCTTTTATGGTTGAATTATTCTGAAAAATTTTCAAATAATCGTTCTGTCCAATTAATGTTATTATTTACATTGGATTTTACGACGAATAAGTTTCATTTATGTTATTTAGTACTTAGTGTTAATCGTTGTTTACTGATCGAATTTCAACACTTTCTGCTGTTGTCATAAAGTTATTTAATATCAAACAAAGCTAATTATGATGTCGAGTCACTTGAACCATTGACCACACCATAGGGATGATCGATGGAATGAGGACAATTACTAGGACTAGATGATATAATTTTCTTTAATATTCAGAAAAAAATTAATGCGAGCATCTCATCCTTATAACAGGAGAGTTATTGCCCAAACGGCTGAATAGTAATCTCTGTATGATACTCACTGATATAAGACCGCATTCCACGAAAACGATTAAATTCTCTTAGGATTATAAATGCAACTTAGACGTAGTATGTGTTATTGGAAATCGTTTTGAAAATTTTAAACACCTTTAATTCAAAGCAATGATCGTAAGTTTGATAAAAAAGTATCATTAAGTGTAATTGCGTATCTTTTCATAATTGATTAATTTTATTACTGTATATGTCTGACTTGTTTTTATCATTCATATCATCATCATTATCCTTGGTAATGTCGTAGTAAACGAGAATTTAAGTGGGGAAGATCAATTTATTGTTGAAAGCTATACATTTAATATATAATTTGCATATCCCCCACCAGTTGTTCTTTACACGCTTCATGATTCTTTCACTTCTATTGTTATCATAGCTAATTTCTGTTTTTCTTTCTGTTCTCTTCAATTGAATCTTCTCAATCTTCTGCTCGCATGCATTTCATTTCCGATTGGTAACATAAACCATAATATCATTAATTAATATTACCACAGTTTTGTAGAATGATTCTGATAAGTTTACATGCATTCCAATTATTCTTTTCTAACTATTTATTTTGAGTAATATTTACAATAATCATTTGTTAACATTTTTAATATTATTTTGGTTGATAGTGAGTCATTTCCTATTTTACCAAGTCAAACGGGTTGGTGTAAAGTATATAAACTACGTCCATTACTTGCCAATAACAGACATAAACGTGGTCTAGCATTAGATGGTAAATTAAAACATGAAGATACTAATCTAGCTTCATCCACAATGTAAGTTTGTTATTTGTATTGTTATTTTAAAATATAGATATATACTATTGCATTTTGACTGAATTTTGTATGGATACTCAGTGATTCAATGATACTGTGTTTATTGTGACAACTTTAAACTGTCTAGGCTTTATATTGATTATCTTCATCCATTTAACACTTAATGCTCTATGTTTCATTCTTTTTAGGGTAATTATTTTCTCTATTTTAAAAGAAAAGTTTATTCACAATATTGTACCATAGAATAAACGTTATATTCAATTGTAATTGATTTCAATAAGAAAGAGTAAAACACCTTAATAATAACATTATTTACACAGGGTGTAACATCAAGTTTAAATGTTTAATTTTTATATTATTATCATAGTAATATATTATTAATAATAATAGTTATAATAATATATTACTATCATAATATTACTATACGCAAATTCTGACCTAAATCTTCTAACTATTTGTTTTCGTTATTTCTTTAGATTGCTTCATATAATCCCTTACTTCATGTAATCCCTTACTTATTTACTTGCTTGTTTAAGCCTGTTACCCCTCTTGGAGGAACATAGGTCACTCACCAGAAGCATGACATGAGTTAACAAAAATCATTAATTTCTAAATATATATATGGTCATGGTCAAATGTTTATCTGAATCTTTGCTAAACAAAGTTTTTAATACTTCTAAACTGGAAATAAATGATAGGACATGAAATTCATTGAATAAATTAGCAGTTATAAATATTATATTATTGAATAATCCAATAACAACAACAGTAGAATCAAACAACAAAACTCATATTATTGCTATTATTCTGATTGTTTAGTTTAAAATTATTATTTCAATCTGATTTGAAATTGTAAAGATGATTTCAACTAAGTTAAAATAACAATAGTTGAGATCATGAATCAATTGAAGCTAGACCACCATGGTAAACCTGGAAGCACTGGAAAACCGTTCTCGTCCTAGTATGAGACTCCTCAGCAGTGTGCATTTACGACCCCGCCTCGCTAGATTCAAACCCAGGACCTATCGTTCCTCTAGACCACTGAGCCGGCCGGCACCCAACGGTGTTAATGTCTAACTTCAACTAATCCGCGAAATTGAGCGACAATTCCACCATTTTCATCAGTGAGTTCCTATCCCACAAGAGACCCGGTTGAACTCCAGTGATCACTGCTTCTCACTAGAACTCCAGGAAATACCTCTTGAAGCCAGTCCTTAGTGAGCATATGTTGATTATTATTGTCATTGCATTTAGGTTGTACATTCTTTTGATGTTAGTTGTACAACCAAATTATTTTCCTCCTTACTAAATATACTCTTTCAATTGTAATATAATACTTCTGACTGAAGTGGATCATTATTTAGGTTTTTTTTTCTAATTTTAATATATTAACAGTATATGCAATCCGAACCATAAAGAAAATCTTGGCATGACTGTTCAGTATCGTGTAAAAGTTCGATTAGTATTAGGATTCGTGTCAAGGTGAGAGGGTTGTACATTCTTATTTATTAGTTTTATAAACTATTCATTCATCTATTTTCGTCAGCATATATTTTAAAATAATTAATTATTTTATTCAACCTGAACGATTCCGTATGAAGGTATGGTTTCCCAGAATTATTTAATATAATAGCATATTACATGTCGAACAATGTGATCACATATTTATTTATGATATTTGTATGTATGTATATATGTTTGTATATGAGAAATAAAAGTCAACTAGATAATTCGAACATAATAAAAGAACATGATAACTAACAAAGAAATTCATGTTCACACCTCTCGGGATAGTAATTCAATATTGTGTATGTTATTTATGTCTTCTTCAAGGTCTTACAACTAGGGGTTCATTAAGTTTTAATAATTTATTGATAATATTGGTTTTTTTTATTTAAAAAAATAACCCAAAAGCATGCATTCATTATCGAGATTATTCAAAATAAATGTTGCATTTATATCATTGTTAGTAAGGGGCTCATTTTTGTCAATCTTTGTTGACATATGTGGATTACATGGGATTTGCCTCGACGTAAATATTATGTTTCAAGTTACTTAGAATTGATAGATAGTGGTTATCAACTAAGTTTAATTTTCACTTTTCGTTTTATCTGGGACTCATCAATTAGACGAACCTGCATACAAGCGTTGTTGTTTTCACTGGAATTCGGTTGAGGTTTGTTTGAATGCTGTATTCTTTGTATTGATAAATTATAGAAACGAATAGTCTCTATTTACATAACTTATTCGATAATTATACATGGCTTTTTGTACTTGATATATTCCGTGGTAAGTTGAAGTTAATTGTTTGAACAGGTTATTTTGTAAGCTTCGTAGTTAGCTGCCATAACTGTAAATATAGATCTTTGAGAATAGTTTCCATTTGCTAAGTAAAAGTTTGTCTTGTTCATGTAACTTAAAATTATTTGCATTTAGTACTTACGTGTTCGCTTTTCATATATTTACTTCATATGGATGTTCTGTTCACTACAATTAGTCATACGCAACGTAGAAAACGGCACATATGTGCAACGCTTTAAGTTACCACATCATATAATTACTGTAAGTAATGACAGTAATACTGGTGATATAAAAGTTTTGACAAATAAGTTGTGATATAAATATGCAACATAGTACTGAAATTCTGTATATCATGGAAGATAAAATCAACATTACGACCTATTCATAACAATTTCACACATTATTGTCAACCATCGATTGAACTAATAACAAGGGCTTAAACTATGAAGTCTGCACCTGTCAACCCGAGTGTGTTGTTACATTTGATTCTTCACTAACTGATATACTACTTATATATCGAAATAGTTTGTTTATTTGAGATGTTATTAATATTTGTTTCAACATTTCACTTGTATTTTTTTTACCTTTTTGCATGATGTTATAATAAGAAACATAATGCTTTGAATTTCATTTATCCTTATTTAAGAAAACATTGTCACTAATCTAATATTTAATTAAAATGTGACGGTTTTTTTCACAGAGAAAAATGTTATTTATGAATATCTGTGAATCGTATTTGAGAAATACTCTAGTTAAAATTCTACTTTAAATACTGCATTGAAAAGACATTAAAAAGTAAAAAATGTTATGATTACGAAAGTTTATGAATAATGCAATATACGGTTGCATTACGGTTTTCAACCACTGACTGTCAAAATTCATGTTACCATTACAAGTATTGAATGCAAATGTATGTTTTCATTTAAACAAATAAGGATTGGCATTTTGTATCTTGCTGATATTGAGTAGAAAAATAGCTTTAGTTATTCATCGAAGATAGAAACACCAATAGCATATGACTGAATAGTTTGAAGATAGTTCTTTCTAATTCAGTTGTGACCTAGATATTATTGTTATTTAAGTAGTTGAAATCATGAATCAATTAAAGCCAGACCACCATGGAAAACCTGGAAACACTGAGCGGCTGTTTCGTTCTATTATGGGACTCTTTAGTATATGCTCATTAGTGACTGGCTTCAAGAGGTATTTCCTGGAGTTCTAGTGAGAAGCAGTGATCACTGGAGTTCAACCGGGTCTCTTGTGGGATAGGAACTCACTGATGAAAATGGTGGAATTGTCGCTCGATTTTGTGGATTAGCTGAAGTTAGACATTAACACCGTTGGGTGCCGGCCGCTCAGTGGTTTAAAGGTTAAGCGTTCGTGCGCGAGAACTATAAATCCTGGGTTCGAATCTCATGAGGTGGGATCGTGGATGCGCACAGTAGGACGAAATGGCTGTCTGGTGCTTCCAAATTTTCTATGATGATCTATCTTCAATTGACTCATAATCTCAATTACTGAAATTAATATAATATCCACAAAAAACCCTTCTGATATTATTAATACGTCGACTAAATTTCTGTTTATAATTTTTCCAACCGTTTTTCTTAGTGATGTCAGCGTGGAACTTCCATTTACACTAACTCATCCAAAACCTGATTCAGATGTCAATGGTACTTCATCAAAACTAGTTATTGATGATGATAATGATATTCTTCATCCTTTGTTATCTGGATCTGATGATAGACTAAAACATAATCAGCATATTTTGCAACAATCCCAGTTTTATTCAAACGAACAATGTTCATCTGACCGTAATGTAAATATTACAGATGATTTAATTAAATTGGATGATGGATAAATGACAAGTGAGTTGGATACATTAGTAACCAAAATATTTTGATTATAGTTACAGACTAATAAACATAGGTTAAACATTTTATTCAACAATCATAAAATAACAAGACTATTTAATATAATCATAAATACATCTACTATTTTTCTTGATCAAAAATAATCAATTAATATAATAGTAACGAATAGACTATTTAATTTGATTTGATATACATTTCGGTACTTTATTGTACTAAGAATTCGTTGCATCGTATGTAACATAATATACTAAAACAAAACCCTAACTATCCAATGTTCTATGATTTCCAATAATCTATTAGCTGTTGATATTATCTATGACGAAAACTATTTTCATATTAAACAGAAGTAATATTAAAGCTTATTTCTTATTATTATAGTTTATCTATAATACAATGATTTATTAGGTGTTTTAAACATAGTTGGATTATTATTTAAAGCAACTATAGAATAATGTAATATTTGTCATGAAGAAAAACTAACACATTAATAATCTCAGAAGGGGTATTGTTGACATTATAGTAATTTCAATGGTTGAGATCATGAGTTAGTTGAAGCTAGACCACCCTGGAAAACCTGGAAGCACTGGACAGCCGTTTCGTCCTATTGTGTGACCCCTCAGCATTAATAATCATTAGAATTATTTCCAACGAATAAAAAGGACTGAAAATATGTTTGATTTTTTTCTTCTTTTAAAATATAAATTTAAAGTTAAATGGTCGAAGTAATCATATTACACAATCTTATAATTTATGGTATATTTCTTTCTACATAGGTTAGATCATATTATATTAATCAATAGTTTATCACAACAAGACTAAAAAGTCACACTTTATAACCACGTGGTATTGTAGTTATTGATAAAACTAGTGATTATTTGCATTTGTGTGTTATATTTGTTTTAGTTCAAATGTACAATAAACACATGATAATTGAGTGAATGAATACTATGAGGTATTTATTTGTAGTTGAATATAATAGTGTGATTATCTATAAAATACATAATATGACTTCAATATCTTGTAATTAAATCAACTGTAAATTTATTGATTCAATCTGGTTAACAATATTTATTCCCTCATTTCATGTTGATTAATCATATTTGAACAAGAGTTTTTCTTAGGAAAACTTAGAGTTGAGAGCATCTTTTTAATATCCTTAGTTTTCAATTGTTGAGATCATGAGTCAATTGATGTTAGGCCACCATGAAAAACCTTGAGCACTGGGCGACCGTTCCGTCCTATTGTGGGACTCCTCAGCAGTGCGCATCCACGATCCCGCCTCTCGGGACTTGAGCCCAGGATGGAAGGTGTTAGAACAAATCTTCTCTCTCTAAAAAAACACAATAACAACATGGAATTTAATATTTACACATTAATATTCCCCTTGGTTTTCGAATGTATTATATATCTACGATTGATTTCAATAAAGTGTTTTACCTTTTTCACTTGAACAACTATGCTTGACATCATATATATTCTTGAAAATATAGTTGAAATGAATTAATCATCATTTTATTGGTAGTTAGCTAGCGTACTATTTACAGGATAGGTATTTTATGTATGTGAGTGTGAATACGTATTTGAATTGTCTGGATCTCTGCATGTATGTCTGCAAGTGTACATTAAAAAGAGAATAGATGGATTATTGATCAAAAATGTTATAATCTGGTAGCAAACATGCGCGCCTATCGCACAATAAGGATTATTATGCTAAATGTTTCTTTTTTGTCGTCGAGATACTGATATTTCATAACTCCATACACTTCTAAGCCCAGATGATGTGAAATTGTAGTATACCTTTTTTCAAACTTGTATGTAATATAACTCTAGGTAAACAACAAATATCATGAAGCTTAACAGTATTTATTTAAGGAATTGTGTGAACTAAACATTACTGTGATATTCTGATAATAATATCACTTTATATAAGATAAAAGGGCCTAATAGTTGTAAATTAATGGTAATCTGATATTCTTATGCTTTAAGGCTATTCATTCAAATTATTTTGTTGATTCTTTTGTTACGATTGCTCTAATACCGAAATTCCTGTTAGTTGTCGTCCGTGGCCTGTAAATCTCTGTGGTAATATCTTCGGCAATGTATGATATATGTTAGAGTCGTATAGTGATCATTGGGTTACTAATGATGAGAGATACGGTTTTTTGTTGAATATTGGCTAACAGAACTTAAATTTTGATGGCTTTTTATTGGCTAACCGTAATCAATCCATAAGTTATTAATCTACTTTTTTTAAACATTTATTCATATATTCAATCTATTTAGCACTGTAGAATAAATCAGAATATGTGCCAATATTTTTATTTACTAAATCGTAACATAAACATCTCTAGGTGATCTTACCACGGTACACGTATCCCAACACAGACTAAACATTGTAGGTGTTTATTACTAACGATTGGAAATAATAAATAATGAGAAATGAATATATGCCTTTTCAACAATTTATTAGCTAATTGAACTCGGTAGGCAATTTAAATGACAGGTTGGCATTTAAAATGATGGTTACTAGATGTAAGGCGTAGTGAAATTTCGGTACGTATTGGTTTTCAATCGTAAACTCGATTAAACCCATGTCCTATATTCCTCTCCTAACTGCGAATTGCCTCTAACAAACTAATTTACTTGCCTGAATGACGAAAACAACACCGTAAGCACTTTTCAGTCGCCAGATTTATATTTATCATTGACAAGATATTTAACTTGGATATTATAAGAACAATCAGAATGTGCATGCACAAATGTTTTCATTTTTAGTTTGTAAATAGTAATTAACATAAAACCATGTCTATTGTGAGAACTCATGATTTTAATAAATACCATGTGAAAAACGGACTTTTGTTTAAACTAATCTATTCATTTCTCTTTACTATTCTTTTTTTTCAAAACAACGAATCATTACAAAAACAGTAAAGCATATTCAGTCAGTAGTGTTGGTGGCGGTGTTGATGATGACGATGATTTGATTTTTGAAGATTTCGCTCGTCTACGTTTAAAATCATATGAATCTGATAAACGTATGGATATAGCTGATTCATCTACGGCTGATCCAACAATGGCAACAAATGTCAATACACCTAACGCTGTCATTTCTCCATCATCAACATCATAACAGTAACTTTTTAAAAAATGTATATTTCCTTATTTTCTACTAACATTCTTTCTTGAATAGTTACACGATTTTTTTCTTTTGCTTTCATTATAATATATAACTATAATGATTATTTGTATTTTTGTGGGTACTACTACTACCAATACTACTGATATTCAGTGCTTTTAACTAATGCTTTTGTTTATTTCAAAATAAATTTTAACTCAATAATTTCAGTTTATTAATGTAAATTTTTTCTTAATTATTGTTCAGGCTGATTGATTATGATTTTTAGATCAGCTTGAATTTAAAACTGGAAAAATAAACAAATTATTTTGACTGTTCAATATTTCTGTTTTTGTCATTCTCTCTCTCGCTCTCCATGCTCATTTGGTTTCTCTTCGTTTTATATGTGTCTTTCATCAGAATAGTTTGATCAATTTGTTTCCTTATAGAAGTTGTACTAATGTTATATATTCAAAGTATTCATTTTCAATGTATTCAACTTTATTTCTTATTCCCATTCATAAGTATAAATTATTTCATAACATTACCTATCAATTTTCTTTTTTTTGTTGTTGCAAATCTCACAAATTAAATGAGAACTAATGAAAAGTAAATGAATGAGAAATCTCTTAATGGAATTTGTCAATATCATTATTATCATTATTTAAGTTTTAATGATTTATTTTGAAAGAATAAAAGTCTTGTATATTTGTAATTTTTAATTGAGTTTTACATCAAAATAATAATGGACTTGGTGATAGAAGTATAGTAAGTAATAAGTGTTCGATTAGTAATGATCATCTATTAAGAAAAGTATATCAGTATATATGTTTTAGTGTTTATTTGGGTATTATATATATATATATATATATCTTTGGTTTTAGTTTTACTTAACTGAAATTAGACTTATCTCATGAAGATTTGTTCTATTCGAACGCAATGATGATTATACTACTGATATTATTTCTTATTTAAAATGATCCTCTTGTACTTCAATCTATTGTTTTTTATAATTTAGAAATGAATTATTGTTTAACTAATGTATCTTTAATGTTTCTATCGTGTAAATAAGTGAGACTTCTACATTAATACATCATCAAGTGTTTGTCTTAACTTCTATTTATCGTTGTTTTATTCGTCACCGTAACTGTTTGTTTGTATTTATTTGTCATTGACACATCACCATTATCATAAATGTTGTTGTGATTGTCTTCAGTTTCTTTACACACACACATACCTATTCTTTGCTAATTGTCATACCCTGTGGCTATTATTTTCGTTTCTCATTTACATATCCTTCTTTCTTTATATTGTTTCATAGCTGTTTTTATTCATTATTATGATTATTAAGTTTAAAATTTATCAGTCGAAAAACCTTTGCAAAGAACAAACCGAATAAAGAAAAGAATAAATGAAGTGAAATTAAGCGAATCTATTAAAAATCTAATGAAGTTTTCTGTAATTTGTATAGTAAAAATATAAATTTATATTCTTTATTTCATTACTTGTGTTGTCATCAAAAATAAAAACAAAGTGTATAGTCGAATTAAACGTAGAAAATATATAAGCACATTAACATTTTATGTAGTCTATGACTGATGTGAAATTTAAGCTGTTCCAGAGACTTTTTGAAATATACCGTACAACAGAATATTTGAGACTGAAGTAATTTATTTCTCTACTTATTAATGAAGTTTTTAAACAGTCGATTGTACCCTGAAACACTAGTTACAAAGTACTACATTACTGTATATTACAGTGGCTCGACTATGTTTTATAGTTTTTTAAAACTTGAATGTTTTCAAATTGCAATGAATGTCTTAGAATCCTACAAAAAAATGATGGCTGGCATCGGAGTCCAGAATGCTCATTTTATATTATACAGGACTAGTCACCAGGATATCCTTACATCTCATTGCTGATATCCATTCATGGACGCATATAGTTTAACTTTCACATTGTTGATGTACCTTCTTATATTTACAAACAAATTGTGTTCACTAATTAAGACTAAATTTTATTGAGATTGTATTGTAGTTAACGATCAATAATTTGGTTTGATAGGAGTGCATATCAGTAATTTATGCACTGCAAAGCCGTTAGCAAACAGTCTTTTCCAAACTGAACTCTGGTCAAAAGAGATATGTGAGAACCATTTTTCCATGGCTTTAACGCTTGATTTTTATAAATGGTAATCTGATTTCAACACACTCATCAAATATTTTTAATCTTATTAATTTTAATTGTTCGTTATAATCACCATGTTGATTTATTCTTCATTTTTCTCATACTCGTCAAGTGAACAATTATTCTTCGCATATTTAATTCTTTATTATTATCTTTCTTCAACGCACGATTATAAAGTCACTTTCTTCGATACATAATATGATATAATCGTCGTCTTAATTTTCAGTCGACTATTTTATGTATAAATTAACCACAAATATGATGGTACAGCTTGAGTGAATGATATCGAAAAGAAAGTTTTCTTTGCTGAACTATATCAACAAGTCTTGAATCATATCATAGGTTGCTCTCATTATTATCACTTTATTAAGTTTATAAGTTTACCATACTGGTATCTATTTAGATTTTAGCTTTACACGTACAATCATTTTATAAATAATAAAGAAATATTTTATTAGTGTATGATATTCATTTTAAGAATCCGAAGTTCATCTGAGATGTTGGTTTATTTTTCTCGGAAAAATAATGTCTATGTCCTTTTGAAAATTAAATTAAATAATTCCCTTAAAAACTAAGATATTGATCAGTACTAGATCACAGTTTGGTCTGTAATAATTCCAATATTAAGTTTTGATGTAAGTAGTGATTTAGATATACTTTAAATATTTCAACCTGTGAAACATGAATCCACTATGCTATTATAGCAAAAATGATCAACTGTATGATTTAGCCGTCAGCACTGGTCAGTCGTCAGGTTGACGATAAGTGCTATTGAAATCAGGAAAAGATGACAGTGCCAGTTGCATAAGAATCAAATATTGTGAACTAATTATTCAGTTTTTTTCACATTCCATATTTATTTATGTCTAACTGAAATCGTGTATTTCATTGACATTTTCTTCTATTTATTCATCATCTTTGTATGCAGTAATGCCTTGTTTGAAGTTTGTTGTCTAACTGATACATCATTTAAATAAATTTTGAAAATAACTGAGATCACAGACAATAACTGAATCCTAGATTTTCTTTTAACTCGGTTTGAACATTAGTTTTAAACCCCTAATTTCGTATGGATCAACTGGAGAGCAAGTGCTTCTTTACTAGTGATAAGAAAATAGTTGTCAAATGACATCATGTTTTCAGTAGTTATCTAGTTAAACTCAGAATATAATACAAACTGTCTTCTAACTGAACAATCTCCACAAATCTATCATACCGAAATTAAATGAACACTTAACCAGCGTGTTTATCATGCAGATTTTAATATCTATTCTTACTTTAAATAAGTCATGGGTATTCACACTTTGATACTAGTAAAGTATATATTTTTGAATGACAATGAATAAAGTTTCAAACAGTGAGTTTATATTATTAGAAAAATCGTAATTCACTATTCAAATAATATATAAAAATCCTTCTAAATGAAAGACATTTGACTACTTTTCATGTTCCCATGAAACTAGAATCAGTTATTTCAATGATGATTAAAACTGAGTTTTCTTAAGAGTATCCACAGAATTCACGCCAGCTTACAGGCATGATCAATTTGATATAAATAGTAACATTAGATGTAGAGAACAAACAATGTGGTATAAGATAGTTTCAAGTATACTAGTTCAGTGATTGTTTAGGCGGTAAATAAGTTGCAGCAATCCAATGCATCCGCCAGGAACTTCTAATTTTCCTTAAGTAGATAGCCTGTTGATCTATAAACGGTATATTTAAGATTAATTCATGTACCAGAACGAAATATTGATAATTATCTACAACTAGAGAAAGTAAAACGAGATCAGAGAGCACGGAACAACAAAGCAATAAATACCAAAATATGTCAGTCAGGTCTACCGTAATGCATTTGTCATATATTATAGTGATGTACTGTTAATGTTAGATATTATTCAAATTAGTTAGGGTTGCTAGGGACAGTTTTAACCTAAAGTCGCAACAGGTAGGTGATTTTAATTAGGAATTCATTAATAATAATGACTAGAAATTTCACTCGTGGAATAAGATACACATACATGTATTAGAACATTTAATGCATTTTCAGAGGAGCGGTATGCAACAATGCAGCGAACAAAGAATGAAAGTGATTTTATCGTACGAATAAATTGTGTTAGATTATTCCATAGTCTAGGAACTTATTCAAATAGAGAGATGATTTACAATGAGTATGTTTCATTACTGACAAAGAGTTACGAATGTCTTATTAAGAAATTTCATCGTATTGAATTACTTCATTAAATTTAAAGTATAGTTTATTAAGTAATTTAAAGAAAAAGATAAGATTTAGTTTGAATCTCTTCTTCTATAAAGAGTCGAGCTCACGTTTATTGTTTTATTGAACTGAACCAACTAATTAACAATATCAGTCACCTGAAAAATAGAACTAAAAAAATAAAAAAACAAAGTTCACAAATAAAGTATAGAGAGATTACAATTTATGGCCGATCTTTGAACGAATCTTAAGTGACCTTGAAAAATATTTGCCAATCAGCAAACAGTAAGTATAGAGTAAAAATACATTATACAAAATCAAGAAATAAACTGGATACACTTCTGATACATCGTTCAAAAACTTCAGAAGTTCTAAAATCGTAATTCACGCAGTAGAGAAAATCATCCATATGGCTACACAATAGTCGGTCTCGGGAGCCATGATATGGTTGCAAAAACTATTTCAACATCGACTACATAGATTCAGTATTATTTGTGTGCACTCCAGTTGTTGAGTACACAAAATGCCACATGTGGATAACGGCGCAATGCACATGACAAAGCCCATGTATGAGTCTGTACGCTCTCCAATCATCCGTATATATTGCAATGCCTGGCTCCAGCTAGTGCTATAGGTGCTTTTATTATCCTGTTCAGAATAACTGTCACAATTCGCCTTAGTTACGAATTATGTACAGAGATTTC